TGTGAACTCGCACTTCTGGACGTAGCGCATTGCTGTCTTCCAGTTGTCGCCGCGGTCTCTCGAAATCGAGGCCTCCGTGAAGCAGGTTTCCTTGCCATTGACTTTTTCGCACTTCTCCCCAACCCAGATAAGCCAATCCTTCTTGTCAGGATGGAACGACAGGGGGTTGCCTGAACCGGGCTTCGTGGGAGCCTCGAACGAGTGGAAATGCTCGGCACGATCGATCGTGTACAGAACTTTCTTGGAATCGGTGGTGAAGAAGACGACGTCTTTAAAAAAGCTATGCGGGTAGATGCCCCGCACGTCCTCGTCTTGAAGGATTCGTTCCCAGTTCTTGCCGTGGTCCTTGGTTCGCCATATCTGGTTGTCGGCCCGCATGCTGTTTCCCGAGTATTCAACAGGTCGTACGATGATGGTTTCGTCGACCTCGGTACTCGATTCGCCTCGCTCCAAGTAGATCTTTTCAAAGTCCTTGAAATCGGTCTTAAAGACATGCTGGACGGCTTTGATCTTACCATCAGCAGGGGCAGCTGGGGCATTTACAGCCTCGGAGCATTTCCGCTCGACAGGATCATCCTTCTGGTCACCACTCTTTCGCTTGCAAGTATTGCCTGGGATCTTGCGCCAGCCGGAAGAACCCTTGAAAGTGTCGTCTGGCCTGGCGTTCTTGCATACATTGTCCGGTGCGATGATTGGGCCAGCCTTCTTGCAGTTGTCGCCATCCCTGATGAAGTTGTAATCGCACTCGAAGTCTGCGTCCGTGCACTCGCAGTCCTCAGTAACCGGGACAGGGTCTTTGAACTCCTGGTTCAAGAAGCAGTCGGCTGTCTTCTTGCGGCGGCGGTAGGTCTGTTTGTGGCCCATCAGGCACGAAGGCTTGCCGTTTTCATCAAGGCGGGCGTGCCAATCCTCGAAGTCGTCTTCCTTGCATGTTCGCTCATGCAGCCCTTCGAAGTCGAGAGCAATGATGTGGAACTTTGGGTTATCGCCTCCCGTTTTGCCAACGAGCAAAAACTTGAGACTAGTCGAATCTTGTGTTGTCGTAAGGAGCTCGGGCTTGATCTTCAAGTCATCAGGAAGCGGGGCTGTCTTCCAACTCTCGCCATGGTCCAAAGAGTACCGGATTTCTCCAATGTCCTCCTTGTGAGAGTCCTTCACGGCGACCAAAATCGAGCCTAGGTCACCAAACTCGTACTTGTGAGGGCCATCCAAGGCTTTTTTCCAAGTCACACCCGCATCGTCAGAGACGTAAACGTCACCGTCACCAAACTTGCCCAGGGACTTGCCCTTGTTTCCGATGGCAAGAACAAGACCAGGCGCGGGACTAGAGAACACTCTGCCAACGTTATCGAGATCAGTGACCGAGTGAAGGTGCAGCTGGTCGCCGCCACTCTTCAGATCGTGAAAGGTCCGGCCATCGTCGAACGTTATTTTGCTGACAATCTCTTTCTGGACATGTTTGCCACCCCTGTTGGTGTCCTTTTCCACTTCCTCCCAGTTCTGAACAACGTTGACCATGAAGATACCCTGTACACCGGTGATCTTCTCAAAGTCGACATGACCATTGGTATTGCGGTTCGTGTGCTCGAGGTTTTCGGTGAAAAAGGTGCCGTTCGAGTTACTCGTGAACATAACTCCGGTCGGGTTCGAGGGTCTAGTGTTCATCACATCAATCTGGATGCTGTAGTTGGTGCTTTCCAGGACGGTATAGGCGCCTTGATTGACCTTGTGTCCGTGGCTGGTAGGGAACATGGCGCGGTGCCACTTGATGGTGTCGTCCGTGACGAAGAGCCCCATCTCGTCGGTATTGAGGGACGATGTGGCGACCATGAGATATTTCTTGACTACCGCCAGACTGACGACACCCTGAACGCCGTGGTTCGTATCCATGTCCGGTTCGAATTCCTGGACCTTGTTGTCAACCTTTTGGAAATAGTTGTCCGACGCAAGGAGCCTGTTGTCTTCCTTGAAAGGCGAGAAGTTGTCTCGCACGACGCAAAGAATACGCTGCTTGTCGAGGTCGTCTTTGCCCGTGGTGAAGAGATCCGAAGACTTGGCCCAATAGCACCCCTCGGTGTTACCGCGCAGGAACTTGGCTTTCGACTTGAAATTGTCCGTCGTGTACAGTGTGATCAGATCGCAAAAGATGCCTATGCAATCCGCTCCGTTGAAGATGACACGGTCCGGATCGCCAGCATGGAAGTGAAGGATGTCCCCGCCCATGAAGATATTGGGGGGCGCACCGCTCGAGAACTTCTGCCACGATTTGCCTCGGTCGGTCGTCTTGAAGTGTTCGGTGCCTTGGGTGAGTACGTAGGCTCGGTTCTTGTCGAAAGAGTGCATTGTGAGGAGTGAGGCCTGGTTATCCGGGATATCTTTGACCCTATCCCATGTGATACCAGCATCCTCGGATCGGTAGAGGTTTCGTTCGGAGATATCTTGGTAAAGGACGGTATTGGAATCTTCGAAATAGTTCAAGTTGAGAGGAGGATGCTTGATTGTGGTGACTTTGATCGTCGGCTCATCCTTTGCTTGGACAGCTGCTGCCAGTGTGAGGACAGACAGCAGGATGCGCCAGGAGGCGACAGTCTTGCCCCTAAGCCTCATGTTCGGAGGTTGGTGTGGATGGTGGTGATCATCAAAAAGAACAAGCTGTCGATGGCAGATGCGTCGCGATAGGATACAGTTCGCCCAGGAAAACGCGGGTGAAAGGAGCAGGTGTCGTGAGGGCCAGCCTAGCAGTAATTGATTTGTTGGGTGGTGATAGTGTCTGTTGGACAGTCGTCGAATTCAAACCTGTCCGGAAGGGAAACGTAAGCGTAGGAAGTATGTTTCGCACGCGAATCGGGTGGCTAAGCTTCAGCTCCACCCTAGCTTTGACGCCACACCAGCGCATCAAAGAGTCGCCCGGCCCCAGTCAGCGGCCCCAGTGTAAGTAATGCCGACAGCTGTCCCCGCCACCCTGCATTGCGCCTCTATACAGTGTAGGTCGTTTAGAACAGGTTCTCGTCTCCCTCATTGTCAAGTGATGCTTATGGTGAAGTCGGAATTACCTAATATAAGATATTGCAGTTGGGGTCTCTCTTTTGAGTACTCGTTTTTAAATATCGAAACAACTTGTCGTGTCTAACGGTCCGTCCGCTCGCCCGGGTTCGGATTACATCAGTAATCGGTACCACAGAAGTGGTCCGCGTATTCCGTACAGGCAGAACGCATTTTTGTAGAGGGTTTCCTCTCCTCGTGCAGCGAGGATCACATCAAACTACGAGCCATCTGCCGTTTCTGGTGGTATCAGAAACGTGATTGGGAGGAAGACATAGGAATGCAGAATGTAGGATCTCGTAGTCCAGCCTCATAAAGCCGAAGCATACACTGGAACAGACAGCACCAGGCATGGTAGAACAAGGTGGGCCACTATCTGTATCAGAAAGATGGGGCCTTGACAAGAAGCCCTCTTTCCGAACAGTTCGCAAATTCGCGGATGCATGACAAACGTCGAAACCAAAGGAAGCCCGTACACGTTGCCGCCTATCCTGCATTTCCTCAGTTTGGCTCGCAGGTCACCAAAGAACCAGACTCCAAGATCTCGGCTCATCTCAGGACAACTTGGCTGTCATCGTCTCGTCATTCGATCCGACCCGGCTTCTGATTTGCCAGAGAGCCCCGGACTCGTCGCTGACGGGCTAACTGTACAATGTTTGCCCGATGACCCCCCGCGCGAGCTTGCAACGAAGATCCCAGTAAGATTGTTGGCCTGTATTTTAGCAAAGCACAGGAGGAAGGAAAGCAGAGACGAGGGTGCCAAAGATCCCTCGACGAACATGTGTGTAATTGATTAAACACCACATTCCAAGATTGGGAGGGTTAGCGAACCTGGACTGTATTTCTACCGGCTCAATGAGGGTCTTCTCTACCGTGCCCCTTTGTTGACACGGGCACTTGAGAGATTCTCTCCTACTCGGGCTGCGGCTCTGGCTCGTCCCTCGGACTGAAGTTGAAACCCTCCCCTCGGTGGGTCCCATCTGGCTGCGATCTCCACCTCCGCTGGGAGCGTTCCAAAAGCAATCTGCGATCTGAACCTGGGGGTTGACCAGAAATGATTCCCAAGCCCTGGTTCAGACGGGGGCCTCGAATGGGACGGAACGGAGTGTCCCGGATCGGCGCGGGGCGCCGCATGTCTACTCTGACCCGTGAGGCCAAGGAATCATTCCGTTAACGAACAACAACAACAACAACGACAACAACACCGAAGCGTTTCGTCCAGATGTTGAGGTGATGGAATGCCAAGCATTAGTTTGAAAGCTAATCTGGCCTAAATGGATCTACGTCTGGCCGCATGCTTCAGTCACAAGGCTTGAGCTATAGTAACCAAAGCGCACGACCTTCAAGCCCAGCCCACTTCCAAGACCATGGAGCTGGGCAAACTTCTCAAATACTTCCAAACAGGATATTCTTTTTTGTTCAAGGCAACTACAGAGGTATATGTAGGGAAATGCATCACACCCCCTTATCCCTAGCCGCAGCGTCGCGTATCTGTTGATCCTCGCACCATCATCGCGCATGACGTGCTTGAGGGTATTTCATGCAAACCAAGCCCCTTCGCATAGCCCTGCCCTCCTGCCTCTATCAAATTGCACGTTTTGACTTCCGACATGCCCAGCTGGGGAGGCATAGCCCCTTCCGACGCAGCCCTGATAATGTTGGCTTTGGCAACGATTGCTCGGCGCAGAACTGTACGTCCGCGCTGCCAGCTCATTTTCTTATCGAGCCAGCAGAGCCTGAAGGGCCTCGATTTGCCCATATTTACATGGAATGTTGCTGGAGGCAGAAGCCTGGGCATTCGTCACTCGCCCTGCGTTGCGGGACGGACGGACTTTCCAGCTCAAAAGGCGCCTGTAAATATCGAGCAGACAGTTACGACAGTGCATTTCTGATCAAACGTCGACCATGCAACGCAAATGCTTTAGGATTCGAAAGATGCATCGTGGCTGGCCCAAGCATCAGGCTTCGTTTGATTCATCCTTGTGTGTGGCATCGGCCTCGGCACCATCCTTGGCTTTGGGCTCTCCTTCGGCATCAAATCCCAAAGCGTCCAATTCACGGATGAGCTCGTTGATCTTGATAACCTTGGCAATTTGCTCGGGCAACAGCGTCTCGCCGCCCTCCTTCTTGTTCTTGAGATCCTTGGCCTGCTTGAGCTTCTTCTTAAGATTGCGGGCCTTCTTCTCCTTCTCCACTTCGGGGTCGGCCTCTTGGGCCTTGGGGTGGTCGGCACTAGACTGCTGCTTGGCATCGTCGACCTCGTCCTCTCCTGCGGCCTTGGCCTTCTTCCTGGCTTCCCGGCGCTTTGCATTCTTGTTGCTGGAAACAGAGGGAGAAGCTTCAGGCTTCTCTTCCTTCAAACCCGCCGCGCCAGGGATGCCACCCTTTGTGGTGCGATCACGAAAAGCCGCGGCAGTGCGGTTCTTGTAAACCTCGACATCTTCGGGTGGGCGGTAGCCGGGACGGATCTTGATAGCTTTGCGGGTGCTGCCGTCCGCTCGCTTCGACTCGGGGATGTGGCGCTCGCCCGCGTCATCCGTGATGATGCCCGCGTTGGAGGCTTTCGTGGGTTCGGAAGGCATAATGTCGGAAACCTTGATGGGTGTTGACAGAGTCGGCTAGACTGGTAGCAACGGGCTTGCCGGAAAACCCTGCAGTCAGTCGGACTGATCCAACCGATGGGCTTCGGAGAAGCGTCGCAAGGCTTCGCTGTTCAAGCAGGCTGTGTGCGTAGCTCACCGCCCGTCCAAAGCGCTGGCTGGTGGCTTTGGGCACTCATGCGATGCTGGGTAGGGAACAGCTTAAGCTTGGTGCAAAGGGAAGCGGGGCGCGTGCGTGCAGCCAATCGGTTTTGCCAAAGACTTGAGGCAAGCTGCAGGCTTCGGGGCAGTTTGACACACTTCTGGGTGTAGGTGACACCAGGATCGCAAACAGGGCGGCGGCGAAAGCCAGATTTCGATGAGAAGGAAGGTGGACTGTCAGTTTGGTTTGGCTGGCAAAAGAAAGCGAATGCGCCTGTGGGAGTTGAGGTCGAAACAACCCCTCCTATGTAAGGGACGCACAGACCATTGTGGGGTGTGAACCTTCTCTGCGCATCAGGCATCTGATTGGGCCACAAACAAACATGATCCAATCCGGCGGGTTCAGCTACATGATACAAGAGGGAGCCGATCTGCCTACCTACGTGCCTACCTACGTACCTACCTACTTCTACCTTGGCAGTGCTTGGGTACCTACCTACCTACTTACTGGTCGCCGTCACTCATCTGCCATGAAACCTGGGCCAGAGGGGTAGCAGGGCAGCCGCAGTCAAGTCTGGGCAGGCAGGACATACTCTCTGCGCTTCAGAAAGTGCGGTCTGGCCAGAATGACGCCACGTGTGTCGCGTTACTGGTCTCGTCAGGCCTGCAGCCTACCGGCGTGTCTTTCGGTAAGAAGTGTCAGATTGCGGCACTCCAGTGTGTAGGATCCCATCCCATGTTCAACCGGGCTGTCCATACGGATAGCGTCCGCCCCTTCCAGCGGCCGAAGTTGCAATCTATATGCGTGGAACAAGGCCGGAAGCATGGGTTGCCCAGGAGATTGCTTGAATGCCAGCTGGCCGGCCGCCTCGGTTTATCACAGCGAAGGAGAGTGTGCGTGGTAGATGGAACTGCCCATCAGGCAGCATTGATATAGATGTTTGAGCCTGCAAGAGTGCGGCGCGTGTCGCACTATCCGTTATCGGGGAGGAAAGGCGTTTCCAAACTTATAGTACTTGCACTACCTACTACCTATGCCGTCACCGCTTCACAGCCAGCGGTGCGCTGATATTCTTCATGCTCTCTGACGACATGAGAGGGATTACGGAGAAAGACCAATCAGGGAAGTACTTACTGTCCATATCATCCGACGACCCTTGTTGTATAGGCAGCGCCCTGGCCAAGAAGCACAAGCTTCATCCCGCCACTCAAGCTTTCTTGGTCACAGTCCGCGTTTGCCAAGCCTTGTGTGGCATGCTGGTCTCGCTCTCATCAAACCAGAAGCGACTCGGAGGAGCGACCATCAGAGGTATTGTTAGATGACGGTCACAGCCCTCCACGCTCGATCCTGGCATTGACCTTCCTTCCCAAGCCTCCTTCTTCGGATGGCCCTGAGCAGTCAAGAAGAAGCCTCTGTCGTCACTGCTCGTCCCATTACTGACACAGCTTGCTTGCTTGACCCCCGAAATACCGCGGTTTATGCGGACGCAAAAGAAGGTACCGGCCTCACCAATGTGGTCGCGGCAGGTGAAATCGGCCATGATATTGTGTGTGCGCGAGTGTGTGAGTGCGTGGGCGTGTGCTGCTTAAACGGGACAAGCATGACCAGGTATAGAGTGGCGTACAATAGGAAACTTGTGTTGTGCTCTTCTCTCCCTTTTCAAATACGGCCTATTGTCTCCTCTACTTCGCTTTCGTCCACTTCCAGTCTTCTAGTGTCTCTCCTTCTCCCTAGTTGTCGAGTTCACTACTCTATGATAGTTTCTTCTTCCTCCCAACAGGTACTCTCAGAGCTTTGCCCTCCGTACCTTCCTTCGGTTCTCTGGTCATAACGGCCCCGGGAAACTGCCACACAGGTTCGCTTCAATTCATCGGGTAAGAAATGTAACCTTCTCCCACTGCAGTCAATAATGGATGCACTTGTCTTTCCCAATACGATTGCCTGACCGGCACTCCTCCACCACTTTATTAGGCGCAAGGCTAAATACATCGACAGATGCACCTTTTTCTTTCTTTTTTTGAATCAATTCTTCACTCAACATAAAGAACATGACAGGTCTGATTGAATAAGCAATCACCACATCACTATCAGCTACTACATCAATTCGAAAGCCACCCAGCACACATCGGTTTTGTTCATCATTACCAACCATGGCCATAGCCAATGGGCAACATGCCGACAAAGGCGTTAATATGTCGACCCAAGACGAAAAGAAACAGAGCCAACTACAGGACATTGAAGAGACCAAAACGGCCAAGGATGAGAATCATCATGGGCCTAGCAAGTTCACCCTGGATACGGCGGATGCTCTTACTCCTGATCCCGGCACAGAGGACATGTTCAACGCCAAGCAGGACAGCAAATTCGCTTTCACTCCAGGCCATCTCACCAAGCTTCTGAACCCCAAAAATCTCAGTGCCTTCTACGCTCTCGGAGGCCTGCGTGGCTTGGAGAAAGGTCTTCAAACGAACCGCAAATCCGGACTGGGTGTTGACGAGGACAAATTGGACGCCAGTGTTTCCTTCGAGGAAGCTGCCCTAAAAGGCGTACCCAAGTACGGCGCAGCTGGCAACCAAGTTCCTCAGCCGGACCCCAATGCGAAGAACGACGTGCCCATTCCGCCCCCGCCTGCTGAGTACACTGGCGGGTTCTCGGATCGAAAACACGCGTTTCGAGACAACCGCCTGCCCCCCAAGAAGCAGAAGTCCTTCCTGCAGATGGTGTGGATTGCCTACAATGACAAGGTGCTGATTCTGTTGACAATCGCGGCCGTTGTATCTCTCGCTCTGGGCTTATATGAAACCTTTGGCCAAGCACACGAACCAGGTGAAGCCAAAGTCGAGTGGGTAGAGGGCGTTGCCATCATGATTGCCATTATCATTGTCGTCTTGGTTGGCTCGATCAACGACTGGAAGATGCAACGTCAGTTTAACACACTTAACAAGAAACACGACGATCGCACAATCAAGGTCGTTCGTTCCGGCAAGTCCGTCGAGATATCTGTCTATGACATCGTCGTTGGCGACGTCGTCCATCTGTCAACGGGAGATATGGTTCCTGTTGACGGTATCTTCATTGAAGGCCATGGAGTCAAGTGTGACGAGTCTTCAGCCACGGGCGAGTCCGACCTTATCAAAAAGATTGGCGCCGACGATGTGTATGAGGCTCTTGAGCAAATGGCACAGAAGAACGTTGAGCGACCTGACATTGAGAAAATGGACCCTTTCATCATCTCTGGCAGCAAGGTTCAGGAGGGTACCGGTACTTTCCTGGTTACAGCGGTTGGCGTCAACTCTTCGTATGGCCGAATCACCATGTCTCTCAGAACCGAGCAAGAAGACACCCCGTTGCAGAGAAAGCTCAACGTCCTTGCCGACCACATCGCCAAGTTCGGCGGCGGCGCGGCTCTCCTACTGTTTGTGGTACTTTTCATCAAGTTCCTTGTCGCGCTCCCTGGAAACAACGACAGCCCCGAACAGAAGGGACAGGCTTTCCTCAAGCTCTTCATCGTTTCCGTCACTGTCGTCGTCGTGGCGGTTCCGGAGGGTCTACCTCTGGCTGTCACCCTGGCACTGGCGTTCGCCACAACTCGGATGATGAAAGACAACAACTTGGTTCGAGTCCTGAAAGCCTGCGAGATAATGGGAAATGCCACGACAATTTGCTCGGACAAGACAGGAACTCTCACACAGAACAAGATGTCGGTCGTAGCCACAACTCTTGGAAAAAGCATCAGCTTTGGCGGTAAGGATGCCCCCCTCGAGGAGCCCACGGCAGAGAAGCGAAAGAGCAGCTCCTCACCCTCGGATGAAAAAACTGTCAACTCGGTTCGAAACGTTTCAATTGGTGACTTCACAAAGGATCTGGGTCCGGAGACGAAACAACTGTTAATACAAGGCAACGCCGTGAACTCCACAGCCTTTGAGGGAGACCAAGAAGGAGAACACACTTTTATCGGATCCAAGACCGAGGTCGCTCTGCTCACATTCAGCCGGGATCAGTTGGCAGCCGGGCCAGTTCAGGAAGAGCGGACGAACGCCAATGTCGTCCAGGTCGTACCTTTCGACTCGGCAGTCAAATACATGGCGACTGTAATCAAGCTACCAAATGGGAAGTACAGAGCGTACGTGAAGGGAGCCTCAGAAATTCTTCTGAAGCAATGCACCAAAGTTCTTGACAATCCCAGTGGCTCCGAGTTGAGTGCCGTGGATATGACGGCTGAAGACAAGGAGATGTTTGCACAGACGATCGACTCATACGCCGGCCAAACCCTTCGCACCATCGGGTCTTCATTCCGGGACTTTGACTCCTGGCCACCCAAGGATGCCATCTCTAAAGATGACTCTAGAACTGCAGACTTTGACAAGATCCACCAAAACATGACGCTCGTTGCCATCTACGGCATCAAAGACCCGCTGCGACCTTCTGTTATCGACGCCATAAAGGATTGCAACCGCGCAGGCGTCATCGTCCGCATGGTCACGGGTGACAACATCCTGACTGCCAGAGCCATCGCCAAGGAATGTGGCATCTATCATCCTGAAGACGGCGGCATCGCTATGGAGGGCCCAACCTTCCGACGCAAGACCGAAGAAGAACTCAAAGACATCGTTCCCAAGCTGCAAGTTCTTGCTCGCTCAAGCCCTGAAGACAAGAGGATCCTGGTCCGGACTCTGAAGGACCTTGGCGAGACGGTAGCCGTGACCGGTGATGGCACAAACGACGCTCCCGCGCTCAAGATGGCGGACATAGGATTTTCTATGGGCATCGCTGGCACTGAAGTCGCCAAGGAGGCATCTGGCATCATCCTTATGGATGACAATTTTGCTTCCATTGTCAAGGCCCTGATGTGGGGAAGAGCTGTCAATGACTCCGTAAAGAAGTTTCTGCAGGTATGTCAAGCAGGACGTTCGCTTTTCAATACTCGTTTACAAGTGCTGACCCTTTGCAAAGTTCCAACTTACTGTCAACGTCACGGCCGTAGTTTTGACTTTCGTCAGTGCAGTTGCCAGCTCAAGTGAGCAGTCGGTATTAAATGCTGTTCAGTTGCTTTGGGTGAATTTGATCATGGATACCTTCGCTGCCCTTGCGCTTGCCACCGACCCTCCGACGCGCAGTGTTCTGGACCGCAAGCCCGACCGAAAGTCTGCGTCGCTAATAACCCTGAGAATGGCTAAGATGATCATTGGCCAAGCCATCTGTCAGCTCGTCATTACCTTCGTATTGAACTTTGCCGGAAAGAGTCTCATGGGCTACAGCGACTCCGATGATGACCATGAACGTTTGAGGACTCTCGTCTTCAACACGTTTGTTTGGCTGCAAATCTTCAACGAACTCAAGTAGGTATCCCATGACTTGCTGACTGAGTATGTGCTAACTGTCACTAGCAACCGTCGCCTGGACAACAGGTTCAACGTCTTCGAGAACATCACCAAGAACTACTTCTTTATCGGTATCAACCTGATCATGATTGGTGGACAGATACTCATCATTTTTGTTGGAGGCGCCGCATTCCAGATCAAGCCTCTTAATGGAAAGGAATGGGGTTTGTCTATCGGTCTCGGCGCGATTTCCCTTCCGTTTGGTGTCTTGATTCGCTTGATCCCCGACGCATGGGCGGCGGCATGTCTGCCTTGGTTTATCAGAAAAAGATGGGCCCCGGAAACTATCTCAGACAAACGCCGAGAGGAGCATCGCAGGTTCGCCGATGGGCTCGACCCTCCTCTGCGGACACACACCGGACTCCGTGGGCGCAGGTCGGAACATACCCCGTTCATACAGAAGGTGCACAACGCCAAGCTACATGCCAAGGCGAAACTGGGCAGTCGCGAACACAAAGCATCGCCGAGCAAGCAGGGCTAATGGGGTTGCAATTCAGCGTTCATACGTAGTAGTGCAGTTATTATTCAGTTGGCTCACGGTGGTCTCACTTATTCTGAATGTCGGTTGGTGCCGTTGCCAATTTGGTTGACAGTCTGCTTCCCTAATTCTTTGGATATATTGCATGTCTTCTCGTGCCCAACGGATTACCCATGATGTGTGTTGGTCGTCTTTTGCGCCTTCAGTGACCTGCGCGAGTATCGTAAGATGACAATCTTGACCTCGAGTTCGTCCAAAACGTGGCTTGACAGGTAACTTTGCGAGGCTGGTGCAGTCGACTGGCGGCCTTAGTCATCAATGAAGTGCTGGACGAAGTGGGGCTGGGGGGCCAATCGGCCAATCAAAGGGCATGTATTTCGGCAAAGCTAGTGGCTCCCGGAACATCGCGAATTTCGTCAAGACTCGCTCCCCAAAACCATCCGACCCAACCCACTTCCAACGACCACCGCCTCGCCGACCGCAACGAAGCACCCTTGCCTCTACACGAGACGTGCAATTTGACAAAAGACATCCAAGATGGTATGCTCGTATTTCAATGGAAGCTCTTCCCGTGACCGCAATTGGCTAATCGCTCACTCTTTGCTCCTCCGCAGGCCCCCACACGCCCTTTCTACAAGCAAGTCCTCACCCCCTCTACGTCTCCCTCTACTCGCATCGCCGAGCGACCGGAGTCCCGCGGCTTCGAAGTCCTGAGCGATTGGTTATCCGACAGATCGAATGCGATGATTGGGAAACGTTTGCTAACGGCTTGGGTGGAACAGTGCTCTTTTTAAGAACAACTTCTCCATGCTCGGTTTCGTCTTTGCGACGGGCTTTGCATTCGAGCTGTAAGCGATGATTCTCCAAGACGAGAATCCGGTGCGATCACTGGGGCTGCAGAGAGAAGGACCAACAGACCCGGGGCGTGTCGGAATGTGTCGGATAGGAACCGGGATAGGCTGACATGTTGCGCTCTAGGGGCTTCAACGGTGCGATGAACAAGTACTGGGACTACCTGAACCGTGGCGTAAGGACCCCCTTCCTCATGTTATTTCGGTGTATCGACGAGCCCGCTTCGAGAGAAACAGCAACTTCGCTGCGGAAGCACGTTTGGTCACACGGGAGAGATGGTTTTGCTGACAAGGAGCCGAATGTAGCGTCAATGGAAGGACATCCGCCACAAGTACGTCGAGGCCGCCGATGATGACGAATAAACGATATGCGACTGGCCATGGACGGGTGTGATTGCGCGAGAGCCATTGTGGGCTTTTGGCTTGGCGGAGGCTCTGCTAGAAAGCGGTGGGACTTGTACCGATAGACGGAAGGGCGTTGTAGATCATCAAAGCTACCTTTCTGCATATTACCTACATTTGACTTGGCCGGCCTGTGTCGGCATCTGACTGATTATCTGAGTGGTTGATGTTGTTATTAATATACTGGTGCCCACGAAAACAATTTGTTGGAGTTGAAGGACAGGCGCGAGAGGAAATTGACGAGGGACGGCGGAAAGATAAACGTCCGGCCTGGCAATTGTGCTTATATTGAAGAAATACTCTGGACATATGGGCCAGATTGTAGAGCTATAAGTCAGGCGCTTCAGGGCATTGCGTACCGTTCGTGGTGTAATTGGACATATGCACGGTCACAGTGTATGGAATTGGAGTCACTGAAAACATGCGAGGCACCGTTCACGTTTGACTGCTTTTTAAATTGGATCCTGTCAGGCTACACAGCAACGACGAGACGCTCAGGGGAGGGCAATTGCCTCGATCTCGACGTCGACGTTCTTGGGGAGGGTCTTGACGGCGACGCAGCTGCGGGCAGGCTTGTGGGTGAACCACTTCTCGTACTCGCCGTTCATCTCCTGAAAGGGGGGCGTCAGGGATGAGATTCACATTAGAGGGAGGGGGGAAGGACAGGTACTCACGGCAAAGCTGCCCATGTCGGCGAGGAAGATGTTGACCTTGACGACCTTCTCGATGGAGGAGCCGGCCTCGACGAGGACGGCCTTGAGGTTGGTGATGCACTGCTTGGTCTTGTCGGTGATGGAGCCCTCGAGGAGGTCACCGGCGGGGGTGAGGGGGATCTGGCCGGAGCAGTAGATGGCGGTGGGGGTCTTGACGGCCTGGGACTAAGGTAGGGGAAGGGGTGAATCAGGGTTAGTCTGATGGTTCCGAGGTTGGCTCATAGGGTCACGGAATGTTCATACGTAAGGGCCGACAGCTATCCGACGGATTGGTTAGCAACTTGTTCTGGGGATTTTATGCGTGGGAGAGGGGAACTCACGGGCCGGGGCGTTCTTGGTGAAGACGATGGACTGGTCAGACATCTTGGAGGCGTGGACGCTGAAGGGCTGGAGACGGAACAGGGACAAGGACGAGGACGGGCGGCGGATGGCGGCGCGGGATGAGAATCTGGCGACGGATCTGACGAGCGAGAACATTGGCGTGACCGGGCGGACTGAGGGAAGGGGAAACTATCGTGGGGGGGAAAGGGCGGGGTGGTTTTCAATTGGGCTGCGACTACGGAGTACGTTACTGGGAGCGACACACAAAGTTCATCGGCTGGAGAGGAGTGCGGGACTCGGTCACCCCGCCGTCGAGCTCCGTTCTTCGGCTCAAGTGTCCCCTGGCCCGGGCGGGTAGCAGCGGATGGCTGACTCCTTTCGGCCCTGTCAAACGCGCGGGCTGAGACGTGACAACGCGGGTTACATGCGTACAAAGCGCCAGTTTGAGAATTATGGTATAAAGTCGATTGAGTCGTCTTCTCTCCCATTCGAGTTGAAGGGGCTCAACATAAAAGTTAGTTGAGTCCCGTTGAGGTCGGAGAGGCTAAATGCCACGCCGCTTCCGCTTCCTACCACCGAGATTTTGACAGTACCGGCGGATGACTTGTGAGTAGCCATTGGGAGGAAACTGTCGCATCTCTTGTCGAGCAGTATCCGTCTCTCGACTCGCAAGCTTGATCTGAAACTTACAACTGTGCACACGCCGAACCGGGAGACGGCCGGGACGGCCAGTGTATCGGAGCCATTGGAGAATCCTTATCTTATCGCTGCAACAACAACCGCTTGTTGGCTGCGTGGACTGTGGGAAGTGGGCTGAAGCTCTCCATCTCTTAGGTACCGAGAGTTAGTGCAGCTCCGTCCAATCGAACTAACTCAATGGGCTCCCATGGAATGGATGGATAGGTTGTATGATGACAGCTCTCTCACTCTGGCCAAGTGTCCAATCCACCCACCAAGGCCATCCAGTCTTCGGGAAGGTTCAGTGTCAACCTGCAGCTCGTCAGGGGGTAGCCTCCCCTATTGATTTTTTTTTTTTCCCACGACATAGTTGCACCCCCAGAGGGCGATCAATCCTCCCTTGTCCTTTTACCCCATCTCTATTTCATCTTCGCGAGGTTCAGAGTTGTATTCGTACCCTCTCCCTTATTTCCCCTTTTACATAGTACAGCTTCTCCTTCAGTCACTCCTTACCGCCATCCTTTTTTTTTTCTTTTCTATTCTCTTTCATCTTCATCAGCGCGACACGAGGGCTGACGCGGTCCGCTTTTCTCCATAGCGTGTAAGTAGCTAAAAAGGCCCCTTGGGTGCAGCTCAACGAAGCGATACGTACCCATTCCGTCGATTGGCGTCCATCACTTGGAGCTACCTGTCCTTCTCTTTTTCTGCCGTGACATCCTGCCCCCCCATGGACCAAAACATATTCCCCAGCTCTCCTGTAACCCTCCAAGGCTTGTACTGACAACCTCCATCTCGAGCAGCCCCTCCCGCCTCTTATTCTTATTGATTTCGAAACTTTTTCGAATCATGGCGCAGACGACCGCCACCCCGCAGGGCAGCGTTCGCCAGCGCAACACTGCGAAGCGGCCGACCACGCCTGGCGCCGTCTCCGACGATGTCGCCAAAGCACCCAACGACAAGTCCGTTGTAAAGACCAAGCGCACCAGCTCCGACGCCGAGTACAGCGTCGGCCTCCTCATCACCACCGTTCTCGCCTTCGTCACTCGATTCTGGGGCATCAGCCATCCTAATGAGGTCGTCTTCGACGAGGTTCACTTTGGCAAGGTACGTCCCGAGCTTGCCAAAAACTTAGTCCCCCAAAATGTCGACGGCTCCCGCTAACGTGAAAACCTCAGTTCGCCTCTTACTACCTCGAGAGAACCTACTTCTTCGATGTCCACCCCCCCTTCGGAAAGCTTCTCTTCGCCTTCATGGGATGGCTGGTTGGCTACGACGGACATTTCCACTTCGACAATATTGGCGACTCCTACATCTCCAACAAGGTGCCCTATGTTGCCTTCCGAGCTATGCCAGCCATCCTTGGCGCCCTGACCGTCTCCGTCACCTATCTCATCATGTGGGAGTCTGGCTACAGCTTGCCCGCCTGCCTTCTGGCTGCTGGTCTCGTCCTGCTTGACAATGCCCACATTGGCCAGACCCGATTGATCCTTCTGGATGCCACTCTTGTCTTCGCCATGGCCTGCAGTTTGCTCTGCTACATCAAGTTCTACAAGCTGCGCCACGAGCCCTTTTCCCGCAAGTGGTGGAAGTGGCTTGTCCTGACCGGTTTCGCCCTGTCTGCCGACATATCGACCAAGTACGTTGGCCTCTTCGCCTTCGTCACCATTGGATCCGCTGTCATCATCGACCTTTGGGCTCTGTTGGACATTAAGAGACCTGGTGGCGCCCTGAGCCTTCCCGAGTTCGGCAAGCACTTTGCCGCCCGCGCCTTTGGTCTGATCATCCTGCCCTTTATGTTCTACCTCTTTTGGTTCCAGGTGCACTTTGCCATCTTGACCCGATCCGGCCCGGGCGACGACTTCATGACCCCCGAGTTCCAGGAGACGCTGAGCGACAACGTCATGTTGGCCAACTCCCTGACTGTCGAGTATTACGATACCATTACCCTGCGCCACAAGGAGACCAAGACCTACCTTCACAGCCACGAGGACCGCTACCCTCTGCGCTACGAGGACGGCCGTGTTTCCAGCCAGGGCCAGCAGGTCACTGGTTACCCTTACAACGATACCAACAACTACTGGCAGATCATCCCTCTCATTGATGATCACAAGACTGGCAAGCCCGTCAAAAACCAGGACGTTGTTCGTCTCAGGCACTTGGGTACCGACACGATGCTCCTGTCTCACGACGTGGCCTCGCCTTACTACCCCACAAACCAGGAGTTCACCACCGTTCCCCTGACCGAAGCCTACGGCGACCGTCTGAACGACACGCTCTTCGAGATCAGAGTCGAGAACGGAAAATTGGGTCAGGAGTTCAAGACTATCTCGAGCCACTTCAAGCTGATCCACAACCCCAGCAAGGTTGCCATGTGGACTCACACCACTCCCCTCCCCGACTGGGGACACAAGCAGCAGGAGATCAACGGCAACAAGCAGCTGGCTCCGAGCTCCAACATCTGGTTTGTCGAGGACCTCCCCTCGGTTCCCCTGGACTCCAAGAGACGAGAGAAGCCCGAGAAGCAGGTCAAGTCTTTGTCCTTCTTCCGCAAGTGGTTTGAGCTGCAGCGGTCCATGTTCTGGCACAACAACCAGTTGACCAGCAGCCACCCCTACGCCAGCCACCCCTACCAGTGGCCCTTCCTGCTCCGTGGTGTCAGTTTCTGGACCCAGAACGACACCCGCCAGCAGATCTACTTCCTTGGTAACCCCGTTGGCTGGTGGCTTGCGAGCAGTCTGTTGGCTGTCTTTGCCGGTATCATCGGTGCGGACCAGGTGTCACTTAGACGAGGCATTGACGCTCTTGACCACCGTAAGCTCTCTCTGACCTATGTTGTAACTTCAAATGTCGATGCTAACCATGTTCAGGCACTCGGTCACGGCTGTACAACTCCACCGGCTTCTTTTTCCTGGCTTGGGCCACTCACTACTTCCCATTCTACTTGATGGGCCGCCAACTCTTCCTGCATCACTACTTGCCGGCCCACCTCGCTTCGTGTCTAGTCGCCGGTGCCCTCCTAGAGTTTATCTTCACTGCCGAGCCCATGCCCGAGGAGGGATACCAGCCTATTAAGGGCAACGGCAAGGCCCATGGACCCAAGAGACACATTTCCGCCCGCGAGCGGTTTGCCGGCCAAAGCCTTGTCGGTGCCTGGGTTGCTTGCGGTGTCATCCTGCTCATCGCTCTTGCCGGCTGGTATTTCTTCCTGCCGCTGACTTACGGCTACCCTGGCCTGAGTGTGGAGGAAGTCGTCCGTCGCAAGTGGCTCGGCTACGACCTGCACTTTGCCAAATAATCAAATGTCGCGGTCAGGCAACCAAGCCCACCCGGTATCAGTGCAGTGCACACAGCAGATGATGCTGCCCCAGCATCAGTTTGACTCTCACATCTAAAGACCCACAGTAGTAGACGGTTAAGAAATACAGTAGCAACAAGAAGCCCAGGTAAAGGACAAGGGGCTCACCTTGTGATTGTAAGATGAGGCGACGAATACAAAAAAAGGGCGCCTTGGAGTGTAGAACTAGTTTTTTTTCTAGAGTCAATAACGATACTTCAAAAACAACGCTTCTCTGTTGGTGACATGATGAGCATTGCGTGTGGGGTCTGCGTTCTCGAGCGACAGGCACCGCTCTCAGTCGTGCCGCCAGGACCTGAAGCTATCATCATCCGCGTCCGACTCATCGAATGAATGTCGGCCGTTCAGACTGCAACTACGATGGCTGGTGTGCATGGTCACCCATCACAGGCCAAGGTTGAGGTTCTAGGCAAATCTTCGGGGGTGGGATGGGGATGGCCAGCAGTTTCTCGGGGTAAGTGTGTTCGATTGAGGCCGGCGTTGTCTGGCTATCTCCTGCTATCATACTTTCGACGCTTGGGAGGAGGTGGCAGCTGATTTCTCTCTCTTAGAAGCTGTGCAATCTCGTGCTCCCCTATGGCCGAGGCCTTCTCGACGTGCCCCGTGGTCTAGAAGAAGCTGTACAATCTTTAGATGGCTGTTGAATGATGTAACTTGGAGGGGAGTGCCTTCGTATCCAGCTGCCGTGTTGACGTCTGCCTGCGTTATCGACTTCACCCAGCCTGGTATCCCATTTCAAAAGCTCCGTTTGCCACATAGGCAGAGGGTCTACAACAATTCCCTTCAGCAAGTCTCCTTCTGCGTATGTGATTTGCCATGCAGCCTCCGCGGCTCCAGCTGACCCCTTGTTGGGCGCAGTTGATGGCGATGCTCTATCATGTACGGACAGGTTGGTTCACTTCCAGCCAACACCAAAGTAGTGTGACAGGCTTGCATAAAGTGGGCTTCTGCGGGGATCCTTAAAGCCAACCATACACTACCGGGTTCGTAAACGGCCCGTAAATTGCAATTGGTAAGTGTCACGGCTCAGCACATGTAATCTGTATGATCTACAGGGTCACGACTGTGCCCTGCCATGTCTTCTTCCTAAACCAAAATTATCCGCACGTGTGTGACATGTCAATATCGCCGCAGAGATACGATGTGGTGTGTACGTGTATCATTGGCGTCGGGCAACTTGTGCAGGGATAATGTGCCTCCACAACAGCCAATCGCCTTGCTCCCTGTCTTCTCCATGCTTCCCAGAATAGGTAGGCCCACACAGGTCTGCCGACCAATGATACTGCTCCCTCTGACGGCTGCTTACATACTACTATGTACATATGCTAATGTACCTGTAGTAGGGGAGCTGTATTTCTGAATAGGTAATGAGCCGTCTTGGCTGGGATAATAGACAGGAGGGTGTGAGGGAGGGGCTCACTAAGCTCCAACTTGATGCAACTGCCAACAACATACGTGCCGTTCGGCATACCCTGACTGCTTCAATGGCGTTGTCCACAGAGACTTTCATTCATTAAACCCTATATACCTACCTGCCTGGCTGACCAGTCGTTACCATCAATCGACCTGCTCTTCCGAGCGGTGCTCTACCCCCCCTTTCGACCTTACCTCTATGGGCCTCCTCAACGGCCTGCGCCTCGGCGCAAGGCGCCTCCTCCGCTCCCGCGGCCTGCGCAACCTCGTCCTTGTCTTCGCCGTCTACACCTTCCTCGAAGCCCTGCGCGTGCAGCGCCTGGTGACGGGCGCCCCGCGGCACGACCCGAAGCGCCCGCGGCGCGTCGAGCGGGTGTACATCGCCGGCATGCACTACAACGATGCGGCGCTGATCCGAGACCACTGGGCGGGCGCGGTGCTGGCCCTCGTCGAGGCTCTGGGCCGCGACAACGTCTTCGTGAGCGTGTACGAGAGCGGGAGCTGGGACGACAGCAAGGCCGCGCTGCTGGCGCTGGACGAGGAGCTGGGCCGCAGGGGAGTCCGCCGCAACGTCGTGCTGGACGACAGGACGCACCAGGAGGAGGTCGAGGCCGTCCCTGCGCAAGGCGAGGCCAGGGAGGGGTGGATCACGACGCCGAGAGGAAAGAGAGAGATGAGGCGGATCCCCTTCCTGGCGAGACTGAGGAACCTGACGCTCAAGGACCTGTGGAAGCTGGGGGGTGAAGGAGAGGTCTTTGACAAGGTGCTTTTCTTGAACGATGTGGTGTTCACGGTAGGTTGCACTTTCTTCTCCACGTGATTGCGATCAAGGACCGGGAGCTGACCAGGCATACGCACAGACGGACGACGTCCTCGCCCTGCTCGACACCAACAACGGCCTCTACGGCGCGGCGTGCTCGCTCGACTTCTCCCAGCCGCCGTACTACTACGACACGTTCGCCCTGCGGGACTCGGCCGGGCAAGGCCACCTGATGCAGACGTGGCCGTACTTCCGGTCACAGGTGAGTCGGGAGGCGATGGAGACCTACGCGGACGCCGTGCCCGTGCGGAGCTGCTGGAACGGCATCGTGGCGATGCCCGCCGCGCCGTTCCTGGTGTCCCGCGCGTCGGGCCGTCGGCGGCTCGAGTTCCGCGCCGTGCCGGACTCGCTGGCTGAGGAGAAGCACCTCGAGGCGAGCGAGTGCTGCCTGATCCACGCCGACAACCCGCTGTCCGAGAGCCTGGGCGTATTCCTGAACCCGCGCGTGCGGGTCGGGTACTCGACTGGCGCGTACGAGTGGGCGCACCCCCGCGACGCCGGCGACAGCTGGCTCTCGCTCTGGAGGATCGTGGTCGGCACCTGGGAGGCCAGGGTCCGGCGGCTGCTCACGAGCGACCGCGTCAAGGAGTGGGTCGTGAGAAAGAGGCTCGCCGAGTGGGAGGCCGAGGGGGACGGGAGGGAGGAGAAGGGCGTCCATTGCCTGATCAACGAGGGACAGGTGCTCGTATACAACGGCTGGGCGCATGTGTAAGAAGGAAAAGTAAATATACCCCCCCCTTTTGTCCACTTATTTGTTGGATGTACGTAAGATAGATGGATAGACATATAAACCTTTTTATCTCTAGGATTATCACGTTCTGGCTTGTATCCGTGCTCCCCCCCCCCTTTTTACGCCTTATGCCTCCCTCCATGCGAAAGCCCGCAACGCCTGTCTGTGCAAAGGGGGGAAAAAAAAAGGACTAAGCGCTCAATATTCCCCCGAGATCCACGCCCCAGCTCCTCCTGCCCCCCTTGGCAAGCCGAGAGTCCGGGTCCGCCGGCGGCGGCGGCGCCCCGATCACGTGGAAGAAGCGCTGCATCTCGGGGCTCTTGGCCGTCTCCTCGTCGACCAGGACGCCGCCCCTGTCGCCGCACGTCCGGAGCACGCGCGTCCTCCTGATCGCCTTGCGTGGCGGCTCGGGGGTCGTCCCGTCGGCCGGACGAGTTTTCTCGGAAGACAGGACCCGGACTTCGTGGAATAGAGCCTCGAGCTCCTGGAGGCGGCAGGACGTCGTCAGCGGGGAGACGTCGTCGTGGTTCCAGCCATGCTCGTCGGGGTTCGCGTCGGGAGACAGGGGGCTCACGGTGTACCACATGTCGTCGACGTTGCGCCCGTCGTCCGCGTGTTCGAAAAGCGATTCAACAGCCGTCCCCGCTTCGTAGTACTCATTCTCGTCGTCCGTCGTCTCTCCGTCATCCTCGTCGGCGCCAACACAGTTCCTCAGCCCGCTCCCTTCTCGACGCCTGCCCCTCCTCTCGCCCCTGGGGCTCGTCGGAACGGTATCGCCCGGGTCTACCAGCAGCTCCAGGAGAGCGCCCTCCTCGTCGAGCAGGTTACCCTCCTTCGCGATCTCCAACACCCCGCTCTCCGCCGCCTCCATGAGCCGCTCGCTCAGCCCGCGGGCGACGACCTTGGGGACGTCGTTCATCTGCAGCACGTCGAGCAGAGACACCCCGTGGCGGTGCAGCCTGTGCAGTTGCGCGGACGTGAGGTGCCCCTTCCGCTGCGCGTCCGCGGCGCGGAGCTTGCGGAACATGGGCAGCGCCGTCGAGCGGCGTCCGCGGCTCCCCGGCGGCGACGGGTCCGAGTCGACGACGGCAAGCATGTCGTTGATGACGTCGGCGGACCACTGGACCGAGCGGACCGCCTGCAGGAGGCCGGTGTACTCGCGCCGCCGCGGGTGCGGGGGGTAGTTCTGGGCGATGGAGGGGTGCGGTGGGAGAGGGAGCGGGAGGATCGGCTCCACGAGGTCGGTGACGTACTCGATGGGGTTGATGGAGGGGGAGGGGATGCAGTGGAGGACGAGGTAGCGGAGGATGTTTGCGTTGCGGGCGAGGTACTCCTGGAGGTCGGCGAAGGAGGTTGTGGGAGGTAGAGAGAGACCGCGAGCGATCGTGCGGAGGGGGTCGGAGGCGTAATGGTGGTATGGGGGATAAGGGGGCAGGTCGCCGCTGTATTGGACGGGCGTACGGTCAGGGGAGGTCGCGTAGATGTCGATTATGTCGTCGATCTCTTGCTCTTCCTCTGAGATTGAAAAAGGTTTGTGTGATATAGGGGAGACAGTATTTGAGTCTTCCATGATGGAGTTAGAGGAGGGTTCTGCGTGAGCGGGGGAGTATTCGATGTGTTGATGTGAGACTGAACCAGATTCCACGGGCCGTGGTCCCAGCCAGTCGTCGTCATCATCGTCATCATCGTCCGTGCTGAACCGAAGGAAGCTACTCGTGTTCTTCATGACGGTACTCATAGATGGGCTCAGCTTGTTGTGCTTGCTTTCTGTTGTCGGGGTTCCCCCTACCTCGGGCAAAGACGACGCTTGAGAGCAGCAGCGGATAAACGGACTGCATCGCAAAGGGTCCTGATGCACAGCAAGGGGTTGCGAATCCAGTGCGATGCTTTCCGCCGATCCGTCAGAGTCTCGCACGCTCGACTGTGAGTCGAAGTGGTCGACGGTGGATTTCACAGAGGACGCGTCATCTTCGTACCAGCCCAGGCCGGTGGTAGGGCGAGGGATATCGTAGCTCACCCCGTGGGGAGCTTCTTCCTCCTCGTCCATCCGCCGGCCTTCAAAGTCAACAGATGCGGGTCGGTGGATTCCCAGCCCGTCTTTTGTCGGTTTCTTGGGGCCTTCCTGGCTTCCGGTGTCGTCGTTGTCACGAAGACCGAGCAGGCAGCCCGGAGACCTGTCCTTGGACAAAACACTCTCGTTCGAGGACGCTTCCACGCCTATATCCTCCTCATGGACAGACGTGGAGGCACTACCTTCGATCGTGGCCGAAATCCCAGCTTCTTTCATCATCAGCCCAAACTCCGGGAAACACAGGTGCGGCAAGCGAGGGACCTTCTCCGTCTCCGCCGGGTTCCTCCTCGACGTCTTCGGCCTGTGTCACGCATCAGCATGGTCTACTGCCCCGCCCTCCCAGCTGTGACGATGACTTACCTCTCTCGCCCCGTCATGTCGTTCTTTAAGGGACGCACCTTTGCACGGCCGGAGGTGGTCGTAGTGATATCGGTGGTCTTTATGATCGAGGATTCGCCGCCGCCGCCGCCGCTGCTGCTGCGGAGCCGCCTCCTCTTCCCCCGGCCGCCGCCCCCGAGCAGAGGGAACCGCCCGCGGCCAGACGCGCGGGTTCGCTTCCTTCCCGTCGCTCCTCAGACGTCTCTCAGCTTCCTTCTGCCGTCGGCGCAGCGCGTTGAGCGCGTGGGGGGACTCACCTTTTGCGAGCGCCTCCGTCTCCTCGACGCCGTGGGTCTGGACTCCAAAGAGGCCGGTCGGGGATCGCTGATGGTGCTCACTGGCGGGAGACGAGGGTAACGACAACGACGACGACGACGACGACGACGAAGTCTCGTCGTATGGCGCGAGTCCTGGCGGGGAGGTGCGTTGGTTCCCGCCGTTGGCGGGATAGCACACTGTCGTCGTCATAGTGCGGCCGTTCGAAACACTCCGAAGCGGCTCGAGTGAGGCCGAAGAGGAACGGGCTCTGCGGGACGTCCAGCGTCCTATGGAAGGCCACGAGAACCCCATTCTTGCTTGATCGGATTTGTTGGTTAAGAAAGGAAAAGGAGGTAAAAGAATAGAGCTTAGCAGAGGAACTCAACAGGTCGTGGTGCAAGTCTGGCCTACAGTCATGGGGGCCACGGGGGCCTTTTTGACTCAGACTTGCTCAAAGACATATTCTGCCCCCCCCCCCCCCCCCCCCCCAAAGGTCGTTTCCTTGTTCCATTCGGTCAGGAGGCTTCCTCTTGAGGCAGGAGGGCAGTGTTTCCATCCCTTACGTGCAAGGCAAAGAAAGGTTGGATACACGGCCCAAAGGGAACACGGGCTGTCGTGATACTTTGCCGCTTCCCTTGTTCAAAAAAAAGTACATTGATACCATGCCAGGACTTCAGCCCATATACCTTTTTTTTTTCTGGGACCAGACCGACCAGTTCCGGTGCCAGACGAAGCTCTTTAGTGATTCCTTCTCCCGACATCGGGGTTCTGCCAGAGGCTGTGTTTTGCGGTTGTTCAAGGGGAACGGCTGACGGGGCTGGCCGGCTTGGGTGGTGGTCACAGCCCAAGGGAAGAAGAGTCGGCAAACAAAGCGTCAGTACAGCCGACGGAAACCCCACTCCAAAATAGAAAATGCGAACAAACCAAGCGCACCAGATGGCCGGAAAGGTGGTTTTTATGGCAAGCTGGCGAACACATTGCAATTACCGGAGAACGTTGACAACCTCGCGGCAACCTCGGCAACTCCACCCCTCGACAACAGAGCGAGCGACAGAATAGGTCCAACGACGGGGACTCTGCTGCAGTGTGGTTTGCGTCTGCCTCCATGTGGGGGAGAGGGAGAGGGGAAAGGGGGGTTCCGTATCGCGCTACATAATACGTTCGGGAACAGAGGTGATGCCTGACTGGACAATGTAGTTGTTCGGCATCGTGAACAAAGAGCGACGACTTCACAGAGCAAATTGCATGGGAGGGCGTTGTCGCCAGCTCGAACACATCTCTGAACTACCTATGAGATCCAGCACAAGGTATCATTCATGGCCTTTCTTCAGACTTCCCGTACGCACTATAACATTCAAGGCATTCTTCACATTGGCCTGGGCATCTCCGGATCAGTCTGCCGAAACCAACAAGAACACCACGCACCACACTACATAACCCCGAACCCCGAGAATCCAAGCCATAAACTGAAACCTTCCAAGGGACACGGTGAGTAGAAAACATGTGCTGGAGGAAGCAAACCATCTACAAGAGCTGCCGGCACGGCCGAATCGAGGAAATCGTCTGCGACGACGAGAAGAGGCGCCGCAGGGAACACGCCCACGTGGCGGCGTTGTCTTCGACGACGACGAGAAGTCGGCGAGAACAAGACCGTAGGAGCCCGTGGCTGGTTCTCTTCTGCCCGTGCTTCTTCCTCGCCCCCGCCGCGCCCCCGAGGGAGGAGAGATGCCGGCCCAAGCCGACCCTCGAACCGCTCAACGGCAAGTGTCCCCGCTGTCTCGAGGAGGAAGCTAACGCAGCAGTGTGCAGCGGCCCGGGGTTCGTCGTCGATGACCACGACGATAACAACCCGCCGTTCCGGCCAGAGGACGCCGCCGCGGAAGCATCCAGGCGGTGCGGCTTCATCGGCGACAAGCACCTGCACGCCGCGGGACGTCCGGCGAGTCACGATGCTTACGGGGGTACAGGATCGCGGCGGAATTCGCGTCGGGGACGCTCCGGGTCGCCGTCGAGAAGCCGGCGCAAGGGCACGGATCCGACAGAGGTCCGCCTGATCCGCCAACCGCTTTATACGAACATCCGGTACGAGAAGGCCAAACGGCGGGAACGAATTCGTCGGGAACAATGCAACGGTGAAGGTCCCGAGCATTATTCACAACGCGCGCAGAGAACACCAGGGTATCGCAGTGGCAATCAAGACCAGAACCAGGACCACGACCAGAACCAAAGACCAAGTGGTTCTACGGCCAGCCCCGGCGGGGGCGCAGACAGCCAGCTCTTCCAGCCCGAAGACTCAACGGCGCACCCCGCCCCTCTCTTGCTGCAAAGGTCCATGGCCAGGGCAGATCGAGTGACCATGGGGGCGAGGGCGAAAAGGGGCCCGCTCGAGAGCGTCGTGCTGGAGAACGGAAGCGGCTGGGGAGTGCGGAACGACACTGCCGCAAGCCCACCGGAATTCACTCCGGGGTTGTCACTGGACGAGCTGTTCGAGGAAGTAGAAGAGTTGTGGCGAACGGCCCCCAACCAGCGGCGGTAGACGCGGCTTGGCCGGCGCGGCTGGGTTGGAGGGGGCGACACTAGACCGCAGAAGTAGATGAACTGATAAGACGGAGATGACACCTTACAATCCCGGAATCCGTGCATGTCTGGAGGGGCGCCAGAAACAAGGTTCGCCTGGGAGGCCCTTTGGGAATCTGACGTGCATGGGGCTGAGATCGACCCGATTCCTACTAAAGGGCCACCAAGCTGGGAGAAACAAGTGCAAAGGTGGAAATAAAACGACGATGCAGCCAGACTTTGACTCATTTGGCACAAGTAGTGTAGATTAGCGCTCATTGACGATGCAGATTCGTGGCCTTTGTTTCAATACAATTGGGGGCCGGGGGGACAACATGCTTCCTCGAATCCATCCGATAAGCTTCCTGTCACTTGTGTGTGACTGGGATACATGTAGCCCCTCTCAAAGGGCGCGTGCGTGGATAATAGGGTATGCTGCTGCGGTACTAGGAACGCAGTGTACGTCGTCAAAGAAGGAAACGATAATGCCGAAAATGCTGATGCCTTGCGACGACGTAAACCACAACGTAGTCGGGAGGTGGCCGTAGAGATCGGCAGAGCGGGGTCCGGTGATAGGCTGCCCAATTACCACGGAGCTGATTGGTGGAAGACGGGATCCACAAGGCTGACTGGAGGGCAGACAGACCAGACTTGTTCGGATTTGAAAAATCGCTGGTGCGTGACGGAGTACGTGTCACCCAAGACGGGCTTCGTGAACCACTAGGATTGCAGCAAAGCACATTCTCTGTCTGCATGGCAAAAAAAACAAAAACAAAAACGAGGTTCCCAAGTCTGACGTCTTGCGTCTTGGAATACGGGGAGACTAGTTGGAGGTATGACGGGACACCGTCTCTCGTCTGATGAGTGGGCGGGTTGCGGCCGAGAGCCGGCTCTGAGTCAAAAGGCTTGCTTTGAGTTTCTGCTTCGACCAGTCCACCTTATTGGATTGGTTTGAGTCGGAGTCACTATGACACGACAGCCACACCAGCCCTACGTGTGGAGATAGACAGAGGGAAAGAGAGAGATGGGAAGGAGTGTTTGAGCGTGAGAGTCAATGGGTGGTGAGCAATTGGCTGGCGAAGGCTCATTTAGCTGCGTACCTGCAAGCGAATGCGTACCTACTGTAGGCCATCATGCGACGTTCCCCCTGTACTCAAAGTCCCGTGCAGCAAAGACGCTCACACGGCAGAGTGCGAACCCGAATATCGACCCTGGCGGGGTGTTGGTGCGCGCAGCCGCGCAATCCAGTAGGTAACACTACCGTCAGAGCAAAGCGCCAAGCTCCAAACGACGCAAGCTCGGTGACGAGTCAGTCAAACCACGCAGGTCCATGTTGCTCGTGTTTGTGTGTTCCGATATCCTCAATAGGGGGAGTGCAAACGCCCGCCAGGTCAGCGCGAACCTGCGCATTGCTAAACATCGTGTAGTCCTCGGATGCAACCTCATCACCGCGCGCTCTGCGCCGGACGTCATCGAGCGACCCGGACCGGACTGGTGGGCTCTGCTTTGCTGATCAGACCGGGGTGCGCAGAGTAGGTACGTAGCAGAATCATGACACGGGATTGGTGACACAGGATAGGGGACGATGAGCGCCCGCTGCCGTCCTCCATCCCTGCTAATCCCATGGCCGAGTGATCTGGCGGCCGAACGAACAGAGTGTACCGACTTTCGACGAGCACCGGGCGGCCGTCAGGACTCTCCCCTCTTGACGAGCCGATTGTATGATCAGCCGCCCTTGACCCAACGGTGAGCGAGACCTAGGAGTTGGCTCCGAGTGGATCCGTCATCAATAAACTCCACGGGCCATGGATCACGGGCCACGGGTTGATGGAGACACAGATATCACAGTGGTGCGGCAAGCGGCAAGGGTAAGAGCCTGGAGATATGATTGGTCAATTTCCGAAAAGTTGGCGGCTTAATTGACTGCCAATGTTGGTCTCAATTCGAGACTGGAGCCCGTTTGCCGGTTTGGGCAAATGCCAAAGGGGCGGTGGCCCCGACGGTCCTGCGGAGGAGGAGGCTGAGGGTTTTCACTGCTCAGGGAGCGGAATTGAGGAACCAACCGTTCGCTTAGGAATGATAGCAGATTGGCGGAGAATGAAACGATGCAGTGGGAAGGCATGGATCAGGTTGGCGGGTGGAGATTGATAGGCGGGGCTAGTCTCTGCACTTTGGTTATGAGGGGCTAATTTGGACGAGGATAAGCGAGTGCGGCCAAATCAGGTAGAGGAGAAAGGTACCATGCATAAGCAGAAAACCCTCAAGCGTCCGCCAGTCCAGTCTTGCTGTTCGGGTGTGTTGATCTTTTAGTCTTGTTGTCGTTAGTGGCCTCAAAGCCACGACCGGTGCAACAGGTGGGGTGGTGCAGTTCAGTTGAGCCATGTCGAGATGTGCTGTGTGTGCAGCGCAGCGCAGTGTAATGCAATGCAGCGCACTGCTATTTTATGCCCTGCCAGGCTGAGATGACACTTGACACCTTGGCCGTGTAGACGGTGTATGTAATAGTCGTGTACACACTGCGTTTCCAGTCACCCGTATGCCCATCTCAGCGAATGCATGTCCTCGTCATGCCATGCCATCGTTCCGAGTTGGCGATAGTGAGGAACCGGGAGGAGCCCCAAGCCACTTCGGATCATTTTCGACGGTGCATGTTGAAACTCGATTAAACACATTTCATCGTCTCCATCCAGAAGGTAACGCCGTGTAAAGTATTCCGCAGGGAGAAGCAGAGGTACGGATAGAGCACCCTGGACTCTGTACCCTGCACCCGAGGAGTGTAGCGTACGGTACACTGCAGCCCTGGCCCTGGCCTTTTCCGGTGCCCTGGACCCATTGAGATTTGCGAGCAGAAAAAGCAGCTGTACAGAGTATCCGTAGTTCATTCGTACCGGTAATAGTACGGGTCGGCGAGATGGTCAGATGGATGCCAAGAGGGAGTCCGAGAGGCCCACAAACGTACGGACTCAGAGAACGGGGTGGGGGGCGGGGGCATTGGTCGGGTTTCATTGCCGCCGTGCTTACGGTGGGTGTCGTTTGTTGGTAGCAAGGTCGTAAGGTCGTAAAGCAAGTCCAGCCCTGCTGCACATTCTCTCTCTCTCTCTCTCTCTCTTCTCATGTTATCGTTACACCATTCCGTACCCCTGATTAGTAAACGGGCTGAAGCTTAATACTGCGACACGGGCGGGTGCTGTGGTGTAGTATAGTGTAATGCTAAGGGCGAGGGTATCGTATAACCTTAGAGAATAACTCCGTAGGATGTATGTGATGGAGTCTCTGCTCATCTGTTACACCGATGCTTGATTCGGGGGCGGGCTGTGTTCACGACACTAACGCTTTCGTCCACCGCCCTGCGGTTCCAGCAGTTTGCTGCAGAGCTGCGGTGATCTTAACAGCGGGTCTACCTGAGCCAGGAATTAGCTGCGAGACAGAATCTGTTCTATTTCCCACCAGCGATGGGGCATGGACGGGAGGAGAGTCAATGAGAGAGTTGGCGCTGCCGCCCGCAGCGGAAAAGATGGCAAGGGAGGAGCGGGGAGAGAGAGACAAAGTGAGAAAGACAGAAAGAGAGAGAGGTAGGTACGTACCGTTCGAGGGTCGTCTGTTGAACCGGGGGTCCGATCCTTCCATGGACCGAAAAGCCCAGACTCCGCCTCCACTGGGTTGGCGGCGACGTTCTCTCATTGGTTAGCCGATTAGGCAGCAGCCTCTCACCCCGGGCGGGCGCCTTCCATAGTTTTGGTCCGCCCATCCGTCCAGCACGCCTTGAACTGGATTCAGTGCTGGCGGCTGCTTGCTTGCTTGCTGTGCTGCTTTTCTAATCAACCTCGAAGACCTTCGACCGTGCTTTCCACGTCCTCGCTCACAACCACGCCTCTTTTCCCCTCCTACCCCCCCAATCCTCGTTCGTCCTTTCCTTCGACCGAATCCTCCTCCTCCTCCTCCTCCTCCTTCTCATCGTCCGTCCAACTTCCTGCTTTCTACCGTAGTCCTATCCGTAGCTCCCGACTCCTTAGGACACGACACGACACGCACGCCGCCTTGTCCCACTGAGGCCGCCGCGCACCACCCACCTCGCCTGCCTCTCCTCTTTCCTCCGGATACATCCAACTACAACAATTTCTTCCTCCTCCATCCTCGTCTGCTCGCCGACGCGTACTACTGCGACGAAAAGCCCCAAACCGTACACCGTCTCACATTTTGTCCCGCTTCCAGAAGCCTTTGAAAATCAGGCAGACGGATTTCGGCCTCGACTTAAATCGACTCGCCTGCTTCGCTGTCTGCCGTATCATCCACTGCGCATATCTACATCGTACTCATCGATACCATCTCCGCCCCATCTCAACGTAAGACTCGGTCTCCTCTTCTCATTCATGTCTTTTGCCCGCACGTTTCCTATCTCAAACCATTTCCCGCCACATTGACCAATGCTGAACCTTGGGCTTGCTCAAGAGTTTAGGACTACGCCATCGAGCCTACCAGCGTGCTCCTGGTTGTGACTCACCCCCGCCGCTTCTCTCTTCAGCCCTACAACTTGGTGAACCCGCAAGACGTCTAACACACCGTAGTCGACAGAGTTCTGGACACCCGTGTCATTACCCTCGCCATGTCCGTCTCCGTCAACCCTCGACGCAGGACTCCGGTGACTCCCCCGGAGTCCTCTGCCGGCAGTCGCCTCACTCTTAAGACCAACAGCCTCCGCAAGGGTGCTACCTTCCATTCTCCCACCAGTCCTACATCTTCCCTTGACGATGCTTTGACTGTCCCCCCAAGCCTTCGACGCTCCCAGACCAACCTGGACGACGTCGTCGATGCCCATCGCCGCCGTATGGCATTGTTTGTCGACGACATCGACAAGTCACTTGCCAACATCACCCTTGTCTCCCCCAAGGCCAAGTCTTTCCGAGACGACAGTCTTCCCGTGCCCAGAGGCTTCCTCAACCTTCCTGTCGTTGACCCCGCCATGGCAAAGGAAAAGTCCAAGGAGGCGGAACGTCGCATCCTGCGCCCCAGAACCCGTCGCTCCTCGAGACATCATGAATCAGACAGCGGACTCGGCACCTCTGTCGCGCATACCGCCGAGACAGAGACTGCGACCACTGCTTCAAAGAAGGCATCCGCCATCACCCGGTCTGCTGCCAACACTTCTTCCACCATGGAGAAGCTTCCCGCTCTGAGCTCCAAGGCCGCAAACCGCATCCAAGAGCACATCCTTCGACCACTCCGGGCCAAGCCCGCCCTCAAGGACTTCGAGCCGATTGTTCTTGATGTTCCCAGGCGCATCAGAGAGAAGGAGATCATCTGCCTGAGAGACCTGGAAAAGACCCTCATCTTTATGGCACCGGTAAGTCAGCTCCTGAATCATACTGGAGTTTGGGGAAGTACTTATCCATCGTTGATGAAGGAGAGGACCAAGACCGCCGCCTTGTACCTCGACTTCTGCCTGACGTCGATCCGCTGCATTCAAGCCACCGTGGAATACCTCAGCGACCGAGAACAGACTCGACCCAACGACCGGCCTTACACTAACGGGTATTTCATCGACCTCGTGGAACAGATTCGCCAGTACGCTGGCCAACTTGCTGCCGCCAAGGAATCAGACGCTGCTGAGATGGACGTTGACCCGTACGACACCCACTCCCATCTCCCGCTTCACTGTGCTAACGTCCTCCCCAGGACCGACGAAATCAAGCTGTTCGGTGGCATCACCGAGAACGGACGTCCCGCTGAGCTCGTCCGTGTTCGCAAGGACGGAAAGGCCATTTCCATGGCGACCGGCTTGGAGGTTGACCTTGATGACACCAAGAGCCCCGTTCAGATGAAACGCTCCTTGAGCCAGCAATTAGAAGACGACGAGGAGATCATGCGCTCTATGGCCCGCCGCAAGAAGAACGCGAGCCCCGAGGAGCTTGCCCCCAAGAAGTGCCGCGAGCCTGGTTGCAACAAGGAGTTCAAGCGTCCTTGTGACTTGACCAAGCACGAGAAGACTCACTCCCGCCCCTGGAAATGCCCTGTCAAGTCCTGCAAATACCACGAGTACGGTTGGCCCACCGAGAAGGAGATGGACCGCCACCACAACGACAAGCACTCCTCGGCACCGCCCATGTACGAGTGCCTATACAAGCCGTGCCCCTACAAGTCGAAGCGGGAATCGAACTGCAAGCAGCACATGGAGAAGGCCCACGGCTGGCAATACGTTCGCACCAAGACCAACGGCAAGAAGTCGTCGAGCAAGGCCGGCAGCGTGACGCATTCCACCCCCCAGCTCATCCACATGCCTACTCCTTCTACCAGCAGCGCCGCCACCCCCCCTCCGCCAATGGACCAGGCGCAGTTCAACTTCAACGACCCCATTCTTGCTCCCCTGCACACCATCGGTCCCGTGGGCGACTTTGCTTCCCACATTGATGGCATGGAGTTCCCCTCCTACATCTCGGACGAAGACTTTGACCAAGTTCTCGGTGTTTCGGGTCCATTCGATGGTCAGCTTGACATGTCCATGTCCCCGTCAGACCACAACACTCCCTCCACCGATGTGTCTTACGGCCCCTACTCGTACCAAGAGGGCCCCGACTTCACTGTGAATGAGGATATCTATGGTGCCCACGCCCAGCTCCCCACCCCTGACCGGTCTGTCTTCGCCGAAAAGATGAACATGGCATTCCCCATCTACCAGCCTGTTCCCACTTGCCAGCCTCAGATGGATGCCATCCAGACCGCCCCTCACATTTCTCCCATCGGCCAGGGCAATGCCATGCTCTACACACCAAATTCTTTGGCTGAGGTGGATGAGGGCTTCGAGGACACGTTTAATGGCGGAGCCGATGAGTTCTGTGGCAACGACTTCCAGCTCTTCCCCGCCAACACCGTAAGCAAGACGTACGATTCCCTCTTCGGTGAGGTGCCGAGCGCCGGCTTGGGCTACTCCCAAGCGTCGCAGGATCCGTTCCAGTCTCTCGAGTGGGCCATGGACTACCAAAGCTTTCCAAGCCAGTAAATGGAGGCCGGAAAGGTGTGCGATGGGTACGTTGGCAGCTGCCTGTGGCAGTTCTAGCGTGTGTGACAAAACTTGTCCGCTTGGGCGCGGGATGGGCTAATGATTTGATGACTGGATATGGACAGAGCCTCTGGAGGGCTCGAGGGGGTCGTATGCTCGACTCTCCCTCATTTGCAATTTTGTATTATTTGGTCTCGCACAACCACTCTGCTTGCTCTCGGATGTATCTCATTTTCTCATCTTGAATTCGCATGAGATTGATAATAGAGAGGACATGGCTAGCAACGTGACTCGTGGCAGGACAGGCCGGCCATGGGGCCATGGGGGACTTGAGGACGCCACGTTTTGAGGAAGATGATTTAGAGTAGAGACGGTTATCTCGCTCAATTTGATCTGGCAGCTCTGAAAACCACTGAAACGTCACTGGGTGCCCGTCGAGCAATGTCATGGAGTGTTGCACTGAAGGAGACGCTAAGTCTATAGCTTCTCGTGTTCACTGATGGACTGTTTGCTCTGGGCGTCTGGAGACACAAAAACAACAAAACCAAAAACAAAACCGCCACAGGACAGAGAAAGAAACCGGTGGATGGAAGTCAACAACCTGGGTGGGTAAGGAGGACATGGTGTAGGATTCGGGTTCCCGCGGAAAGGGGTACAGGAATGACGTGTTCGGCGTGCAAAGCCAAGCGTTGTCTCGCTCCCCCCCACTGGACGCCGGAGGCACGGGGCCAGATCTGACAGCCCGTATTCTGGCCCCAAGCATCGCGACGCGCCGTCCGCACACGGCTGCGCAGGCAAAAGGGCTGGGGCGCGGTGGGGGGATCTGCGGTTGGAACACGAGGGGAAAAGACACATGTTCTTTGATGGACTTGAGTCACCCGGTGGATTCAATGCATGCATCAGAAAGGAAGGGAGGGAGGAGATGGGAGGACAAGCGAAATGCCGGGCGTAGATAGATACCCAAAGTTACCTAGATGGTTCAGATAGAATCAAATCGCAAGACGATATCGTGCGAGCCGAGACATCCCTTTCCTATGCGGCACCTCCCCTGCCCCATGCTGGGAGTGTGATGCGTCGGGCCCGTAAGCTTCGGGTCAGCAACGGACTGCCGTTCGCGCCGTTCCCGCTGCCGTAGGAGCCATTTCCTCCCGCCGGTAGATGTGTGTGCAGTCTGTCTTAGATAATAACCTACATCGTACCAAGGTACATAGGTCCCAGGACGGTGTCGCTTCCATCACACGATTGGTGGGAGCTCCAGTGGGGTCTCTGCCAGTTGGCAGACAGCTGGCCAGAGCTCCTTCCCCACGCCCCACGTCCCTCTCCTTTGCCCGCTCTCCAAAACCCGCGTTTGCTGCGAAAAATTTCAATCCTCTTTGCTTTCCCGTCAACATCAACCCGGGCGTCCGCCGCCCAACGAAAGGGCATCCCCTTCCACCCTGCGAATTTCTCGACTTTCGACGCGCCTCCCTCTCTCTCCAATGTCGTACAAGGACACTTGATTGAAGTCCGTACCAGAGAGGTAAGCTCAATCGAAATTTCCTTCTATGAAACCTCCCCCTTCCTCCCATCCTTTCTTTACCTTTTCGAGCTTCAGGACTCCCAGATCCCAAGCTCCCGAGGAGGAGAATGGGGTGGAGGGACTGGGGAGGAAGACCACCATATGATGAAAGTCATAAAACCTTTTATACTCATAGGAAGAGCCGTCTGAGACGCCCCGGGGAAAGGGGGGTTGTTCTTCTTGACCTCCCCTCCTCCCCTCTGGTCTCGCCCCTCGTGAGACACCCTTACTCTTAAACCGGCACATGGGCTTGGGAACGTTTGCACCGTCATGTGCTGTCCCTCGATTCCGTCGGGGGGTAAGGGGCGGCGGGTGGGCGGGGTGGGGATGTTGTGCTTTTAACTCGGGTTTCTGAAATTTGCTGGTCTAATAAGAAAAGTTTCTGTTGTTGCTACGTTGGCAATCGCATTGTCATCGGGACGTTCTTTACTGACTCGAGACTTTTTTATAGAGGAGCGTGGCTCTCGTGTCGTCGTCGGTGTTCCGGGGCTGGAGGGTTGCAAGAGAGATGGGGAAATAGATTAGAGCAATAAACACGGTTCATTCAGTCATTATTGTCATTCCTGGCTATGTCTAGCTGATGCTGTCACGCCCGCCGCTCTGCCCCGTGCATGTCTTTTTACAATTGCAAAGTATCGATAGTGCAGCTTGTCGACTTTATTCGTCGCTGTCGCTCTCAAACACTGCTCGCCTTCTCTGCTGCCGTCCGCCTGCCTGTTGTCGCGGAGTAGCGTCTCCGTCCTCAGACTCGTCCATCGACGCTGCTGTCCGCGACCTCTTTGCCTTGTTACTGAGAAGCACATCCGCGAGATCCGGAAGCGAGTCTGCCGACTCCTGTGTCGCCGGGAACTCGGTCGGCACGTAAAAAGGCTGGGCGGCATCGTTGCGCTGCGTTGAGCCCGTGGCCGTGGCTTGGCTCGTGGGCAACGCCGAAGATGACGGGTGGTTGCTGGACACGGGGTGTTCGTCCGAGACGACGAAATCGAGCAAGTCACCCCCGCTGTCTGACCCGTCCGTTTCCATCACATCGCTGCCTCTGTCGCAGTCGTCGCCGAGCTCATCGCTGTTGATGCCACGGCCCACTCGCCTCGAGGCCTTCTTGCCGCGTCCTCGTCCCGTAGCAGCCTTCTTCGGCTTCGGAAGCCGTCGCGGCGGCGTTTCTTCATCCGCGGTCTTGTCCATGTCGTCGTCCACTAGCGCTGTAGCAGATGTGAATGCTGAGCGCTTGGGTGCACTGTTGGATTTGCGTTTCTTTGGCCTTGACTCCTCGATGGGCTCATCCTCAGACACCACCGTTTTCGACTGCCTCCTGGCACCGTTGCCCGGAAGCGCCCCGTCTTCCGTATCGCTGGCATAATCTGGGACCGCAACCTCTTCCCACCGGCTGGTGTCCTCTTCCCCAAACGGTTGTATGTAGCGACTTCTTGTGTCTTGGCTCTTGGCAAGCTTCTGGCATAATTTGACGAACCTTTTCGTTCGTTGGCCGTGTTGAACCTTGCCTACTGGTCGAAGGCGTCGTTGGAGCTCGGGACAGGCAGTCAAACTTGGCATCTCCGTCTCTTCGATTTTGGACCAGCTGGCAGGCAGAGACCGGTACACCCTGTCCAACTCAGCCAACTGTGTTTCTGTGAGGACGACCGAGTTAACCGAGGGCACGTCAGCGACGAAGTCCGCCTCTGTCGGCTCTTGCTTTTTCTGAGGGCGACCTCTTTTGGGGGCTGCACTAGCCTTGCCCATATCTGATGCCTTGACGAAGCCCAAACTAACGCCGTCTGGCAGGTGGAACTTCTTTGGGGGCAACTTCTTCCTCGCCCTCCCTTTCTTGGGCTCGGGAAGTGACGGGTTTTGCGTGTTTTCAATGGGGATCTCGATGTGCTGCAGGTTCACCTCGGGCCGAATATCCCTAGGCACAATCCGAGCCGAAAGATCGTGGCGGAAGTTGAACTTGCTCCCTTCGCAGATCAGCTTCTGCATCTCTGCGTAGTTGTCCTTCGACCTGGCAAAGGCGTCCTCCTCTTTGCCCCGCATGAGCAAGAGTACGATGTTGCCTGCCCTCTTTCGTCCCGTTCTGCCCATCCGTTGAAGCATCCTGATGGGCGAGGAAGAAGCATCGTAGCACACAATGAGATCGACTTGTCCAATGTCCAAGCCCTCTTCGCCGATGGAGGTCGCGACCAGTACATTGTATTCGCCGTCCTTAAACTTCTGAATCGTTGCAATCTGTTCGCTCTGCTTCATGCCTGCGGACCGCTTCGAGTCCGCTTGGCCGACGAAAACAGTGGCCTTGATCAGTGGTTTGTGCACGTTCAGAACCCGGACAATATCCTCGGCACTGTCCCTGTATTCGCTGAACACTATGATGCGGGTGGACGTCGCACCGGCGTCCATGAAGTGGTTGAGGACGGTGTCCTGCAAAGCGGCAAGCTTCGGATGGCCGACGAAGCCCTCGGTGCGAAGCCACTTCTCTACCCTCGTCATCATCTCCTGGAAGCTTTGGTCGTTAACTATCTGCTTCTTGTATTTGGACCCCTTCTCTCCCATGTCTTCAACTCCGCCTCTGAACTCCTTCAGGTTCTCGTAGAAGGGTCTGATTCCGTGAAAGTTGAGCAGCTTGATTGCGTGGGCAAGACTCTGCAATATGCTGAAAATAGCCCTCATCATGAATTGCATTCCGGGATTGGTTTTGCGTCCGACGGTAGCGAACCATTCCTGCTGTTGCTTCACCAAACCGTATGTTGTTATTGCCATCGGATCCCTGCCGAAATAGATGTTTTGCTGGGTGAGCTTGTCCATCAGCGGCTTCAGGGCCTTCGAGAACAGATCCTTGATCTCGCACATTTCGTCAGAGGGATCGAGGACAACTTGCTCAACGTTTCTTTGATGCACATATTGACGGATGTCAATGGAATCCTCGGTTCGAATTTCAATGTGTGATATCCCGAGGTTGTCAATGATTTCTTGCACCGTCTCAATCTTTGAGCCGGGCGTCGCGGTTAACGCCAATAACCGGAAATAGGAGTTGTATTGGCGTATTCTCTTGACGACCTTGGCATACGCGTACTCGCCCGTGGCGCGATGGGCTTCGTCTATCACCAACAGAACGATGGATTTCGGGTCGGCATAGCCGTGAGAGATGTCGTTCTGCAGCGTCTGCGGTGTCATGAAGAACACTCGTTTGGACGACCACTCGTTTACTCTGAGGGCCGGTGCGGTGTCGCCTGTAAGGAGCGTTGTCTCAGATCGAGGTATGCCCACAATGTTGAAGCAAGCGTCGACCTGCTGGGCCACCAGGGGTTTAGTAGGCGCAACGAACACAATCTTGGCGTCCTTGGTCCAACGGTAGTAGTTGAGCATGATGGTTGCAGCAATGAATGTCTTGCCAAGACCAGTGGGTAAGGCGACAAGTGTGTTGTTGAACAGGCCGTTTTTGACGATACTGAACTGATAGTCTCTGGTGGCTCCGAGGTTGGTTGGATACAGCCAGGTCTTCATCTCTTCACGATCGATAGCATGCTGAGAAGGGGCTTCTTCAGGCTTATCTCCCCTGTAGACCCGGCCGAATCCTGGCTGAGAAGGTTGGATAGGGGCGTCGTCTGCGACCCTACCACCCAGCAAGGTGGTCTGTCTGAAACTTGACGATGATGTGCGAGTCAATCCATTCTGAGCCCTGGGCGCCGCAGTTGCTGCATTCCTGGTGGGTGGTGCGGCCGACAGAGGTTCCGGCGAGGAGGAAAATGCATCTGAGGGCAAGTCATCCAATTCGTTTGCCAGAGGTCGAGTCGATGCTGACTTCTGAAATGCCTGCAGAACCGTTTAGAAAACGTTCGCAGTGATGAGGGTAAACGGTGTCAATGACTTTCGACCTACATTGGTTGCTGGGAGTTGACGCCCCGCGTTGCCTCTGTTGAAAGATGGCTCCAGGGCATGGGTAAATGCCGACGACCTGGCAGAGGGCGCAGTCTGCAGATTAAAGGCTGAGGAGCTCGATGGGCCAGCCTGACTCTGACTAAGTGCTTCCACCAAATCCTCGTCTGCAAGATCGTCGTCGTATTCATCAGAATCCATGGTGGGAACAGTGAATGATCCTCACTCGATGACTGAGTTATTGGGTTTTCGCCCAAAATGCGTAAGCATGATGGGACTCTATGTGACCGTTATGAAAAACCTCCCAATCTGGGGTCGGCAAGGTCTCTGCTCGCGGATAACGAGGGGCTCGCGTGGCGATTAAACCAGACGCGTCGTCGTCGAGCTCGACGCGAAATCAGATCGCGGTCACCTGATATTGATTACATAATAATATGCTTGATAAGGTTTGGTCGACAAGCTCAGCTTCAGGGTCTACAAGTGGGGCCGGGGCAGCATGTCTGCTTTCTCCGATGAAAGCTTCTCAGTCTGGCGCTTTTGACAATTCGGAAGAACCGATAAAAGTGGAAGTGTAACTTACTAGGAAATATGAACATTGTTTACCTCCCATTTTCACTTTCGCTTTGTATTGTTCAGTTCATATTGACGCTGGCGCTGGCAGTCTTCCTCATCTACTCAGCTATCGCTGTGTTTGTTACATCGTAAACCTGGGAAGGTCCCTGGAATACCACTGCCGGGGCAACAGCTGGCAGCATGAAGCCAGCGCATCATAGCGGTTGCAATAACAAGCAAACCCCATTGGTAAACCTCGTGACCAATCTTGTTTAAAGAGGGATCGGGAGAAACACACACGGAAAAGTTTCGATATATTTAACAATCAGATACGGATACTACGGGAGAGAAGGCAGCCAGAGCCACAATTGCGCTAAACCTAGTCCAGAGAGGTCGCATGCGACCTGAGCGTTCCTGCCTGCCTGGTGACCTGTGGTGGGGCTAACTCAAACGTCACTGCTTTTCGCGACGGGCGAATTTCTTCACTGCCGTTTCCCTCCACTCCATCACTCGCCTCACCTTGAATACCGCCCACGAAGCTGCGCGGTACTTGCCCCCTTGCGTGCCGGCCATTCATTCACTATTCTCTTTGTCGATATATAACGGCTCTGCCAAAAGGATATCTGCTTCTCGCAGTAGCCCCGAGTTTGCGCCTAGGTCCCTAGGGCCTTTGTACTCTGAAGCTGCCCACGTCCCAGAAACGAGACAACAGTCATTCGCTCTACAACATCGCCTTTTGTCCTCTACAGGAACGTCCCGGCGTTAAATATAACACGCACAAAAAACATCTACAACATCGCAGCGATTTCTTCTAGATTCGACAATCGTTACCTGTTACCACCGAAAGCGTGACGGCATATCCAACAAATCGCTCGTCGTTGTCTTCACCGTCGCCTTCAACAAGCGAACTCTATTTACGAATACCCCTCTATCTACTATCGAACGCCACCCGTCGCATCATCTTTCTTGCGGCAGCATCTCCAAAATGGCGCCTCCTCGAGCCCCTCGCATCATGAACTCGCAGCCTGCACGCGAAACCCGCAACTCCGTCGCTGGAACGAAGACTTCGCGCGGCGGCGGCATCCAAAAGCGTCGAGGTGGCAGAACTCAAGTCGACAGGGATGGAGACCTTGACATGGGAAGCGCCGTTGGGGGAAATGGGACACGTCGACCAAACAACAGAGCAGCCTCCGCTGACACGAACAACTCGCGACCTCAGCGACCAACGCGGGGTGGCGGGCCCCCAACCAAGCCAGGCTCGAAAGTACACCAAGCGATTGCTCGGCACCTAGACACCGGCGATGGAAACGATCTGGTATCGAGGAGGAAGCCACAGAGCTCTGGTCTCGTGTGGCTGACCGTCAAGGGTCTGAAGGAGAGCAAGGCCGCAAGCAATGACGACGGTGGCCTGAGGGACCTGCTGATGTTTCTCGAACGGAAAGCCACCACTCTGTCCGGCCGCAACAAAACGGTGCACATTAAGAAGGTATGTCGCGTTGTTGTGAGGCTCAGGGGAACTACATAGGGACGCCGACTGGTCCAGCCTCGTTGCAACGCAAGACACTACGCGAAGCTAGAGACAAACAGCCCCATACGGGCTGCTTGTGCCCTCCATGTAGCTGAGACGAAATTTGAGACTACGAAACCGCTAACCATCAATAGTCAAGTATGAGAGGGGACTTGGTCAACGTTGCGGCAAGCCAAGAAGATGCGGAGGAGATTCTCAAAGTCAACACCTTCACTTTCGCGGGAACGCAATTGGAGATCACTGACAGTGACGGATCGATTGCCAAGGCAAACGAAGCATCTGCCGCAGCTCAGGAGACGAAACAGAAATTGCAAAGCATCATGTCGCTCCGCTACGACATGGAAAACAAGCTTCTGAGGCTAGACTCCCTGTACCAAGACGAGGGCCTGATCCAGATGGGAATATTAGAGTCCAAGGACAGAGCCGAAAAGCTTTTCAAGGTCATGATGAGGATTTGCGACGAGCTCTTCAAGACGGCTCAAGCGAAGATTGATGCCATCCACAGCATCAGCCTGGCAAACAACAATATTGATACCGTCGCGCAAGTCGAAGAGATGGCGGATACGTTCCCGGACCTCAAGAACCTCGACCTGAGTGGGAATCAGATTGCGTCCGTCACAGGGCTGTCAAGATGGCGACAGAAGCTTAAGAAGCTGGAAACTCTGTACCTAACGGGGAACCCGCTCAACATCGCGGACCCGAAGGTGGTGCTCGAGCTGTTGCACTTCTTCCCTAAGCTGCAAGTCTTGAACGGTGAGCAACTGACACCGGAACGGATTGCGGAGATCAAAGCAGCAGGTCGGCCAAAGCCGATTCCCCAACGTGGACCCGATTTCCGCGACGTTGCGGGCATTGGAGAGGCGTTCCTGCTGGAGTTCTTCCTCGGCTTTGACACGGACCGCACGGGTCTCCTGGCCAAATATTACGACGACAACAGTCAGTTCTCTCTGGCGGTCGACACTTACTCCATTAGGGATCCAAGCTTGCCACAGCCGATGCCCTGGGCTTCATACATCAAGCAATCTCGGAACCTCATGAAAATCACGACACCAGCCGCCCGAGCTGCAAGATTGATTACGGGAAGAGAGGCCATCTGGAACCTCTGGAACGACCTCCCGAAAACACAGCACCCGGACATCAAGGTGGACATCAGCAAGTATATTATGGATTGCCACCTTCTGCCCGGTCTCGCCGACCCGACTGGCCAGACACCCGGCGGTGTGGACGGCATGATCATATCTGTGCATGGTCAATTCGAAGAATGCGACAAGGACGGCAAGACGGGTCTCCGGAGCTTCTCTCGCACGTTTGTTTTGGGACCTGGACGACCCAACAGCAACCCCATCCGCGTCGTTAGCGATATGCTGTCCCTCAGAGCCTTCAACCCGCTCCCTAATGTCTTCGTTGCCGAGGCACAAGCCCCGCCGGCCCAGGAACAAGAACAACGCCAGGCCATGATTGTCGAACTATCGAAGCAAACCACAATGACACACGCGTACTCGGAAATGTGCTTGTCAGACGTCGCTTGGGACTTCACCAGGGCATTGGCAGTCTTCCACGAGAAAAAGGTAGGATGCTCCGAAACCCGGAACACAGGGAAAATAATACTAAGACTCGCACAGGCCCAATTACCAGCCGAAGCCTTCGTCAGCGTCTAGAAGTTGCTGCGCTCGTCTTACCCAGTTTGGGGGCATTGAGGAACTCGGAGAACAGGGGTGGATTAGGAAAAGTCGCAATGGACCCACGGCATCGGACGCCTGGCCCACACTAGCGACATGATTTGGAAGGAGGCCGGAAAATCCACACGAAAAGGCAAGCAGTATTGGGTAGGGGTCTTTAACAGCTAGCCAGGGCTAGGAAGAAAGGAGGATAGGGGGAAAGAAAACCCCATCATGTAACCCGTACGGAAACGCGAGGCGGAACAAGATGGAAGCAAAGCAGAAATTGGTTTGACGGCGATAAGGGGACAGAGCCAAGACAGGATTCGTATATACTTTGAGCCGGTAAAAAAAGCGCATGATAGAGGCAGCGGTGTGGTTTCGGTACTAAGGGGTTATTGCTGGCATGGCCTTGGGTGGTGTATAATGGAAACAGCAGATTGCCCACATGGAGGGTCCGTCTATGAATGTATACAGAGTACGTGACTCAAGCTATAGCTTGATTGGCTCTGGGGTCAAGAATGAAGAGACATAGCTAAAGCCTCGGCGCTAATCCAACATCATCAACGGTTTCTGGAGCAATGACGTTGGCAGTTGAGCTGATGGCTGGAAAGTGAGTGAGTAAATGAGTGTGTGTGAGAGAGAGTCACGTTGCAAGCTCTTGGAACGACGAGCTGAAGATGTCTCTCAAGGCCAATGAGTGAGACGGGTGAGGGGGGAGGCGCGCGCGGTCTGTGGGAATCGGACCGGGTTGAGGAGGAAAAAGGTGGTATTTTTTTTTAGGGTGGTTCAGGGAATGGGGAAGAGAGGGACGAATCGGATCCGAATGTGCGGCAAGTCGGGGGATTAGGATAGCGAATGTAATTTTTATACATTTTATTTTTCTTGCCGTCTCGGGCGCTTACGCGGTGCCGCTGGATGTCAGAAGGGTAAGTCTCTCTCTTCTTGTTGGGCGGGCGCGAAGATGACATATCTGCGTGACAAGGCTAGCCCTCTCTCCGGCGGCCAGTCGAAATAAGTGCAGGCATGCCGGGGCGCAAATCGCAATCTTTTGCGGTTACCCATTCTGGTGTACGATGTGCTACGCAAGGCCTTCCACCAGTGTGGCGGAGCGGGAAAAAAAAGCAAAAGCGGGTTGGATTGGCGCTTTGAAACGGAGAGGAGAGGAAGATCTGAATCTCTAGTGTTGGAGGGAGCGTCTGGAGAGCTGACATCACGTGCACGTGCACTACCTACATAGTACATTGCATCGAGAAGCGCGTAAGGTGGGAGGTAGAGTCAGTCAGCAGGAAGACGTGGAGTGATGGGGAAAGTCTCCGATTCGATGATATGCAGGCGTCCCGGGTGGTCGCTTCCACACACCAACACACTCTGTCTGTGGTGAGGAAGGACAACCCTTCACAATCCTTCCTCTCTCTCTTTATCCTTTTTCATTACTCTCATTTTTGCAGCGCTCGTTCGCGGTTGGATGTGTGCCCTACGTAATTTCAAATGGTTGGGGAAGAGTGCCCGATTTGGGGGGGGCTGGCTGTGCACCCGGAAAGCTCTCTTGAGTTCTCAAACCTCGACCACACATTATACGCACGCAATACCATACATAGTCCATGCTCTGGAGGGGGCCTTCGGTGTGTGAGGCGGTGTGAAGAGGGGGGGGAGGGTGCATCCCAAATGGCTTTTTTTTTCTTTTTCTTTTCCCATGACCTTTTCGAGGCGCTATCCCGGTGTCAGGCTGTCCGCGACGCACGGAAGAATGTCATGTTCAGATACCGACCGGCATATCTCGCATGCAGCCTTCGGGGCGCCGCCGTTGAAGCCAAGCCGCCAAATCAAGGTTCCTGTGCGGCGGTGGTGGTGTGGCGGGAAAATGAGTTGAGATGCGCACGGCAGTCCGAGAAACCGGCGAATGCGGGGGATGTTGGGCAGAAGTCAATTAGCCTGAGGAAGAGGAGAGGGCTGCCTGCGGTTCATCGGATGGGAATTTTAGACTCTGGACTAGTTCGTCTCTGTTGGAAAGGAGAGGCCTGACACACACACACACACACACACACGGGGCCAAGACTAGACCTCGAAACTTCCTGACACTGGCGAGTCTGGGTAGGACCTGATAATGTCCTAGGTTGCGGTCGAGGAGGGGGATTCAGGGCGGTTTTCACTTCTCTTGGTCCAGGCAATGTCCTTGAAACCACGGGAATGCCAGCAAGGCTGCGTCAGAACCAGGGCCGGCGTCGTTGGAGGTTGATGAAAGTGCCGGGAAGGGAGGGGGGACAAGCGTTTCTTTGCATCGCGGATTCGGGATATACATATCGGATGGCCTAAGCCCCCGCATCCTACCCGGCAGTTCCCAGCTCAGGCGCTCTGCTATCCTCCAGGGTACGCGGCCTCTGTCGACAGGAGAGTGATTCCAGTGGCAGGCAGCGGCGGCGAAGCTACTGCTGCCAGCTCTCTAGCCCTGGGGGGCAATGCGCGCCCGCGCGTTGCCCGGCTCTCCCCTCGTTCCACAGCGGGCAGGATTTGCTTTGCGTCGCGTCCGGTGGAATGTACGGAGAGAGTGAGGCGGAAAGGTATGGACGGGGGGCCCTCCGTCAGTGGAAGTATCAGGATTTTAGGCTGAGTGCGCTTCAATGGCACCTTCAGGTCGTGCGCCACTTTGATCGCAGCAGGGGGCGGTTTTCAACTCTTTCAAATCAGTCTTTCGGGTTTGTCATATAAGGACGGCGTTGGATTGACCCGTCATGAGATCCGCAACCGGCTCGGAGGAGTGTTTTGGCAAGTTTGGTGTAACTTGCAAGATGTAGTTGAGTAGGTAGGTAGGAATACGGATCGCGGATAGTATCTCTCCCTTCCCTCCCCACCACCGGGGCCAAACCTGGTCGAGGGATTCCTTCCGGCGATGCAGCCGTGCCGGAGCAAGTCTGACATGGGAGGGGTTCAATGACCCCCCCCCCGCGGCCCGGAAGCGAAGGGAGAATAAAGGAGGGATAGCGCAACTGAGGCCATGTAGCGCCGGGTCTGATGTTGCCCTTTTCTGCACATTCGCCCATCTCCCGTCTTCGTCGGGCCTCTCGTGCTATTACTATATCATATTATGCAGTCGTATGGGTTGGTTGGTATGACACGCGGGCATGCCGTCAAACAGGCAGGGTATTAATTACTATTTTGCGCGGGAGTCAAGTCGAGTCGAGGCTTTAGCTGGCAGCTGAACAAACCACCTACTTGGGCCAGTAACATGTATGTAAGCTCAGCTTTGCTGCGCATTGCAACTGCAACTGCACGTAATGTATCTCTGTATCCGTACAAGCAAGCATGTAAGCAGGTACGTACACTAAAATAACGGTCGACCTTGCCCGCGACGTGCATCGTCCACAGGCGGGCCCATGCAGTCTCTCTACACTAATGGTGGCTCAGGGGGGGCGTTGTCGGTCGACGCAGGGGCGGGCTTGACTAGCGCGTTTCAGTCAAAATATCATTGGGTCGGTCCTTCCATCGGAGGGGCAGCGATGTACGGTACGTACCGTCAATGATCAACGCTGCCACACTCTCCCTTCTTCCTGACGGTCAGTGCCTCTCCTCTACGGATACTACGTGCTACGAACGCCCGCTCTCCTTTGCCTTTTGGCAGTCCTGCCCGTTTGGCCCCCCGCCTCTGCACTGCAATCTTCTCGTCCAATTTCAGCACATACCGGTACATATGCATGCAAACGGTCCCCGTCCTGTGCGGGACCGGACGTGGTTGTGTATGGTATGGTACACGCTAGATCCCAAGGAGCAGATGAGGAGCGAAGGTGCATGATTATTTGATTGTTTGCAATTTGCCCGCTGCCTGGTGCTCTCTCTCGCCGCCGCCGCCGCCGCCGCCGCCGCCGCCTCTCCCCAGCTTTCCCATCACATTACTCCGTGGTCCGCTGGGAAATCCGTCTACTTTGATGAGCGTGCTGCGGTATGACGTTGGTCCATCTCGTTCGCCCAACATCCAGGCGCGTCTTACTTGCACAGGCTTTCGCTTTCTTCTCATTGTCTGCCTGTCGCTCGCCTCGTTGCAGGTCCCGTATGTCCAGACCCATTGCTCCGCCGGTTGCTTACAAGCCTGTCATTGCACGTCCGTGTTATTTGGAGATCAAGAGCTAGAAACCAGGAGCCCACGCGGTGCTGGCCCGCTTGATGGGACTGGGGCCTCCGGATCTGGCATTCTCGTCGTCCGTCAGCTTCTTTGCCAGTAAAGAGGATTGTTGTGTGCGGGATTCATCTGCATCATCGATATACCTCGAACGGTGGCGGTCTGACACACCGTCACAGCAACCGAGATGGCAAGCACGCAAACGGGCTTGAGATGCTGCACCAAAGCCAGACGTCGAAGCAATGGACGACCGGCCGGTCTGCTGCTGCTGTCAGTCAGCCACCGTCTAGTGCAATGCGTCCCATGGTGTACCCGTCTTCCCCCCATCCTCAGACGATGCAGGCCCACAAGTGTGTTGGGCTCGGACGGACGTACATGAGCCCGAGAGGAATCTCGAGCACGGTGCACTGGCACGATACCAAGGCAATAGGAAAAGTACAGAATTCAATAGTCGGCAAACACCTGGACGGAAAGACGGTTGCAATGACCGTTGCTTCGCTTCACTGACGCGTGATTCTGCTTCCTTTTTGACTCCAGGCTTGTGAGAGAAGCAAGCAAATGGCACTACACATTTGAGCGAGGTGAAGCGCCCAATGCACGATTTAGGTAGTAATTAGTGTACTAGGTACGTAGGTCGCCCGTTGTCATTGTCTTGCTGTGTCACGTGTGCGACTGGTTCGAGTGGTTGACTGCTCGACGGCTGGCCCTTTAACCGTTTGGCTTACAGTACCTAGTGTAGGTAGGTAGACTGGTGTCATCTCTCCCGTGACAACTCGACTGGCGTCTCTGTCTGCTGTCGACCCTGGTCCAGGAACAGCGAGATTGGAATTTCTAATAGGCCAGGTATCCCGGCACCTCCTTTTCCAATCTCGTGCTGGTCCAGAAA